TGCATGATTCTGATGTCAGATCATACACCTAAGGCTGGCTTGAGAAGTCTCATTTTTTGTCAAAAGAACCTGTCAAAGGTTTGCATCTTGTCAGATTGCGAATATAGGCAAATATCCATTCAGTATGTGAACCTTTCACAAATGCTTAACAGAGCTCAAACAGACTAACACCGACACTGAAATCAACAAACCACTGAGGCAGAAATTGCTAGACGTACAATTAATATATAAAAAGTAAAACGGTGCATTTAAATGAAAGCATCCAACAAGATTAAAAGCTCGGTCAATATGCACTTATGACCAGCAATTTGCTGTCTTACCTGCATGTACATACAGTGGAATGGTTTCTACAATAACATGAGGCAGAGTGATCACAGTTCTCACAACAGGTACATTTTCACCTGCAGATTTTCTGAAATACAAAAACAATACAATATGTACTGTATATACGAGGATCCAATCCTAGGTACACATTCAGAAACCACCGTGAACCCAAACAACAATGGCAAAAGCAAAATGATTTTTCCGCTTTCACCCCTGTTATTAGTGGTGACCAATTTCTAACCGAATGGATAAGGGAATGAAAAGCTACTGGGAGCACGGATAACTTGCATTCAAAAAATACCATATAAATAAAAAACTGGTGATACATATTTTTTTCCTCCAAAAATAGGAATAATTACAACCAAGCAAAACCCAGTTTACACAGGTGTACCAATTGCATTTGACTTGACCAGTCCTCGATGATAAACTGACTAGTTTCTAGAGTGAGACCTGGGTTTAAGATATCACTCCATTGAATAGTGAACGATCATGCATTTGCATTTTTAAAAAGATGATTGATATTACAACAATATACACAATCACAACCTGTAAAATCTCAATCACTCCACGTGTTTCAAAGTAGCTACGCAATCCAACTGTATAAAATACTCTACATAACCCATCTACTTAGCAGTAACCCCTTAATTCTTTACACTATCCTCCCTTAAAGTCTCATGTATTCCTCAGTCAAATTACCCCCCTAAGGCTTATTGACAGATCTCTGGCAAAAACACACACAGCAACAGTTTGCCGATGGCGGTCAGATCCATCAAGAAGAGAGCGCTGACCTTTTCCAGGATATAACATAACGCCCTGACGCCACTCCACTTGTCCCGTTGGCCACTGGGGGGCACTTCAGGCAGAAACACTCGCTGGCACACTCCCCGGTCTGTAGCACCACTGCAGGAACAGCAGACAGAAACAGGCCTTCCCTGTCAGAAACACCACGTCCTGCTCCCACACCAACAGCGTTTGGGGGAGAGTCACAACGTGAGCACTGAGCTAAGGGTGATCAAACATGTTGCTGAACTCCAAAGCACTTACGGAACAATAGATAAATCTGGGGATTACACCTATGCCTTAATGACCAGGTCTAGTGCAAGTGTTCACATTACTCCTATCCTGGTGTCCTTGCACTGGCTTCCGGTCCTATTCCGCGTAGACTTTAAAATCCTCATGCTCACCTATAAGGCTTTACATGGCTTGGCACCTCAATACCTGTCTGAACTTTTATCGCCCTACTCCCCACCTCGCAACCTCCGCTCTTCAAACTCTGCCCTCCAAGCCCGTCTACATTGTATGGGCGACAGGGCCTTCTCCTGCTATGCCCCCAAGCTCTGGGACTCTTTGCCCAAGGATATTAGAGAGTCACCTTCTCTAAACTCCTTCAAATCTTGACTCAAAACCTTCTTCTTCAGAAAAGCCTTTACTTAACTGGTTCCATTCTTCACCTCTCTGCTCTTCTTAATACCATCTTCCACGGTCTCCTCTATTGTTATTGTTGTATTGTTGTAATTATAATTGTGTCCTATCTTGTGAAATCTTCTTAATTATTGTTGTAGTCTTCTTATTTATTGTTATTGTCATCCTGTAAAGCACTTTGAGAAGCTACCTTTAAAGGCGCTATATAAAATAAAGTTTATTATTATTATTATTATTATTATTAATGCATTTTTAAACGTCCTCCACTCTCATTTGTGACCCATATTTAGGCATTTAGATATTTAGAACTTTTAATGTGACACACAATACTCAGATGGGGTGTAAAAGCCAGGAGAGGTACGCTGATGTTGTATGTAACCTTGTATCAGTGTGTTCATTACTCTTTAAGTTCTGTGTAAAACACCTAACCTAATATTTTCGACCTGCCGTTACTGCTGTGTCCCATAAGCCAGCCACTTCCTTTGTGCCGGGGGGGTAACACAAGGAAAACATACCGGATTCCCAACACACCTTGAGGGACGCAACCGCGAGCCCTGTAAACCATAAAGGAGGCAGAATTTTACACGGCTTTTCTCCGGCGCTTCGTTTCACACGAGCTGCTGTGGCTCAGCGCGGAACGCACCCTGTTCCAGGGGGGACTCCAGCTGACCCACGGCGGCCATGGGGGCGGCCAGCTGCAGCTCGCTGGTCTCCAGGTGCAGGGGCCAGGGAGAGGCGCTGAGCACGTCGGCCATCAGGAGGAAGGGGATCTCCGCGTAGACGCGGTCCAAGTGCTCGAACTGGGAAAGCAAATACAGATCGACCGCTAGTGCGCTTTGCCATGGGTGTGCCTCTGTCCGCAAAAGCCACGGGGCCACAACAGCAAGCAGATGTAGAAAAGCACTGGCTCTAAATCAGAGGAAAAGACATGGGGAGTGCTTCTGGCCGGCCGCGGTCTCCACGCAGTATGTAGTGACCTCTGGGTAGCTGAAGGCGACGCGCTACACGGCGCAAACATGAACAATGCAAGAAGAACAAATTCTAAAGAAATTATATTTATTCACAGTAACAGACATAAGATGGAAGGTAACAGAGGAAGAGGCAGTGCCGAGAAAGAGATGGATAGATCGTGTGAGAAAAGATATGGAGGTGTGTGAAGTGAGTGAGGGAGATGTGCTCGACAGAGACAAGTGGAGAAGAGCAACCAAAGCAGCTGACCCCAGGACAGGCTGGGACTAAGGCTGTGAAGAAGAAGAAGAAGTAACAGACATGAGATGCATCCTTCACGGGACCCGAAAATGAGGAAAAGAAGGGCAGCACTGTGGAACAAATAATTGTTGCTGTTCAAACATCCAATTGTAATGTGGAAGCCAAGCTTTGATACGGGTTTTGAGAATACTGTTGTAAGCTACCAGCGCCCAAACAGGTAGCTTCTTTTGGAACTGCTTTTTATGTGATTTTAACATCAGCGTGGCTCATGTCAATAAATTACTCACAGCAATTATTTTTTCCTAAAACAACCACTTACATTTTCTACACTTCTTCACAACACTGAAGAATACAGGGATCATTTTCAGTGCTGAATCGCACCTACCTTTGTGGAGACAAGCTTAATAGCAACTTCAAAAGGGACCACAGTTTCAACAGTCACAGTTTCATCCTGAAAATAAAAGGACAATGTTAAACATGGCGTGCATCACCTAAAAAGAGCATACCTTCAGAACCAAAGCACTGTAGCAAGAAATATTCCCACTAGCAGCTCTTTTGGATTCTTAAATAAAAAAACAGAAATACAAATATGTGACAAAAACTTACTTTATGGCACTTGCAAACAATTTCTTTATCTTCAACTATTGTGTGTACAGCATACGAAACATGGACTAGGAATATCCTTGATCCTATTGTACCACAGCGGATGTACAGTGGCTTCTCTATCTGTAATAAAAACAGGACAAAGGGCTTATACTTAACATGAAAGAAGCACAGCAAAACATAGTCTGATAATTTTGTTCTTCCCCATTTAACAACCAGATAGACGTTTGTCTTTCTTTCCAGAGATGTATCAATGTCAGAACAGTCTAGTGTGAGAGAATGCCAGACCACGTTTTTATGGGCAGTCATCACAGCACAAGCACTTATGCCTTCTAAACTCACAGTTTATTTTCATGATTTTATCATCCTTTTATAAGTTTGGCAAAATCTCCAGTGTCAACGTAAGAGGAAGTTGTAATTGTCATGGCGTAGTTATATCACTTTTTCACTGTGCAGTCTGGATTATCTGGAAAAGCCAGACAAACATCACATATTGTTTTGTGAATATACAGACAGTAAGACTTACTCATTTACCAATTCATTGGTATTTATTAATTAAAGTTTATTAATTATTTATTAAAGTATTTTCTGATTTACCTACAGGCTGCTCTAGGATTTTCAGCATTCTTCAGTCCCTCTCCTGCGTACAACTTTGAACATGTTTTTTTTCTTTCCACTGCAAGTAAGAGGCTACTTGTGTTACTGTACCTTCTGTCCTGGCTGCAAATCTCCAAGGGAGATATCAGGCAGCAAAGCAGGGTGGGAGTCATCACACATTTCAGAGCTGCTCAAGGTGACATGAGTCGTCTGCGAGAGGTTAGCATCTTGACCTAAACAGACACAGTTTGCCCGTTTTTTGTCATTTAAATAAAACAATAATTGCAAAAAGACAGCTCGACTTACAGCTTCCTTAAGTTTTAAGACTTGCATTTGCGATGCTTTCTATTTTTAACAAAGACCGTAACCAATGAATGTCTTGGAAGGAGACCAGAAGAGGGAGAGGGAGGTGTTGCCATTGACCTAGTCTTTTTAGGTGTTTTGCCAATACTTCCAGTTAACAATCCAGTGTTCTACGGAGAACTCAATTCATTGTGCAACGACAGTGCAGAGCTTCACATGAAGGCCCAGGCTGACCTGGCTTGAGTCCAGCTGTCAGCTTGACGTCTTTGGCAACAGCGTCCTCTTGAGAGTGGATGGTGACCACCATGCAGTACATCTCATTGTTCAAAGCCGGAGGTTCGTGACGGAGCTGCACAGAAATCCTTGGAACTCGGGAGATAATCCTTAAAAAACAGTGGGGATTGGATTTGGCACTTGGTCACTCAAATAGGGATGATTAAAGGTATTTATTTCAGAATATCTGACCTACAAATGTGTGGTAATACCGAGAAACAGATCATTCCAGATGAAGAACTATAAACATAATAATTATAGACATCCTGACTTAGTGATAAAAAATGCTCTCAAGTACTTGTCTACATTCTTTGATTTCGAACATTAATATTACACCCGAGATAAGCTGTCAAAATACAGTACAAAATATCAAAAGGAGTATATGGACATCTGGTTGGACAGCACCAATCATTTTATTTGTTAGAAAAATTATTCATTAAAACATTAAATGTCACGTAAACAAATAGCAAAGTAAACTAAGGCCTCATTTCTGCAACTAGGCAGATATAGTATGCATTCTTCCTTGTCAGGAGTCAGAACAGTGAGCACTCACATGGTGTTGGCCTGTATAGAGATCGTGTCCCAGTCCAGCTGGTTGTCAGGGCGACTGGGCCTTCTCCTGAAGGAGCGGCTTGCCTGCAAAGCCTCATGGGAAGACGCTGCATCTCCGCCTCCCCCTCTCCAGTTTAGGAACACGCATCTTCCACTCTCACTGCCCAGCATCAGGTCAACAGCTGTAATCTGGGACACAGAGAAACCAACAGCCTAGGAATGAGCGGGTGTCAGGTAAGCAACCTTTCACCATACAGCTATGCATTAATGGAAATAAACTGCAAAATACACCTGAAATAAAAACATAAAAAGGACATACAGTATGTTTCTCTAGTGCAACAACCAGGAAAGGCACTTACAAACCACTGATTATTGCTGTGAATAGAATTGATTTAAAAGGCTATTTACCGTCATATTACAAAACAATGCTTAGAAAAAGCAGTTTGGAGCAGTGGTTCAAATCCACTGTGAGCTCTGCTGTTGTACCCTTGAGCAAGACGTGACCTGACCTGCTCTAGTAGAATAACCAGCTGTAAAAATTAGAAATGAGTGCAAATGTAAGTCTCTTTGGGGAAAAAGCATCAGCCCAATAAATCAGTAATTTTGCAATAAAATCTCTGGGCCCAGGGTGACTTGAGAAAAGTGTTACACACTGATATTTATAAATCTTAACTCATAGATAATGGGATGACGATCATGATGAAAGAGAAAGAGACCAGCGATTATGAACAACCTCATCACAAGCAATGAGAGATGAGGTCACGCCACTGCTCTTTATCACCCTTAGATAAATCCAGACTATATATTTGCCATAACAGCCGATACAGAAGAATCAGACCTTGCTTTCAAGATTCTTAGATGTGGTGGGAAGCGGTTACCTCGATCTTCTTCCCCACATCTTCAGTCCTGGCCACAAATTTGAAGGAATATTTTCTCATCTTCCCAGGGACCAGACACATGTTCTCCTGAGTGGAGGGTTCAAGGATGTCATTTGACTGGCAGGATTCCTCGATGACACAATACTGGCTGTATTCCTGAAAGCAGAAAGGATCCGTTTATGAACTCATTTTGATTCTTTCAGGGATGGCTAAATCAGATGCAGAAGTAATGATAACCAGTTAAACGTAACATTATGGAGATAAACACATCTGATCCTTCTGAAAGCATTCTTCAGAGTCAATTACGTAAATCTCTCATACTGGGAAATGGGGTTTGGGAAGTGAAAAGAGATCTCATTTGAAATTATTTGACTTGCAGTGGGGGACACAGATAAAAATATTTGTCAAAGTCATCCCATCTGAATAAATTCCCCTTTCCACCAGAGGAAGCAACAGAAAGCACCACTGGAAAATCTGTCACTAATGCAGGAACACACATGGTTAACATTAGCTTAAAGCTAATATAAAATATTAACTGAAATTCTTTTCTAGTTTATCAGGAGCAATTATCCTTTAGGAGCAATATTTCTGCTCAGGCAGAAGACAGTTGTTAGATCAAACGAAAGAGACTAAGAAACCAAATCACCTTATTACTTAAGCTGACACAGAGCTTGGAGAATCTGATTGGGTGAGGGCAGTCTGCCTTCAGGTAAACATGAAGCTGAACAGGAACATCCACATGGAAGCTGGGAGACAGGAACTTGGCTTTGCACTGCACTGTAATTAGGACGAAAAGACCAGATATATTTCAGCCATGCTGTGACAAATTCATAATGGGAATCATCATATTATTCATATTACATAAATACAATAGGTCTGATATATTTATTGTCGTTTAAAGAGAATACAAGCAAAAAACTCAAAGAGAGAACATTTTGCACAGCTGTATGTTTGGCTGTTTCTCTTAGTGTCAAGCCCTTCCGAACAAGGTTCAGTTACAGTAAGGGTAAATTTTTCACAATCAAATTTTGTTTTTATAATCACATTTGCCAGCACAGAAAAATAATAACCAACCAACCACTTTTGTACTGAATTAAAATAACGTGCTTTTCTGCTGCTCAAATGCTCCTATAGCAAAGTCTAATGAGCTTGGGGGAAAGACGCTTTTATGCTTTTTAAAGGTTTCTTTATTGTCCCATATCCTACAACCGCTTTGTGGGGCAGAGGGGCTTCGAAGTCTCCCCGCTCACAGTAGCTCTTTTTCTTATCAGGAGGGCTTAAAAGGGCCAGTCAGCCTAACCACCATGGCTGGGAAGAGCCAGAGAGCCTGGCATAAACTCAAGCAAACAAGAGACGGAATGCAAATTCCTGGGACTCCGAGATATGGTGTTAGAATCAGTTCATGGACCAGGGAGCAGTGAGGAAAAACTCCTCCTATGACACCATGTTGCCTCTTGAAAGTAAATGATGCTCTCCTTGCAGTCAAGTTGAATACTACAGCTGAGTATAATACATAATAAGTATAATATATAATGTATAATGAATAATACAACTTCAATGTCCTCCTGCTTTAACACGGAACACACTTAGCACTGTATGTGACAGGCTGCTTGCAAAGCTGTATTTTCACAGTACAGCATATAGACTCGTAAAGAACTGAATTGTGGGACAGGCCTGTTTGACAAGAGAAAACGTTTACCTGCACATAGTGGAGGATGATTTCTTGAAAGCGCCTATACAAAGATTAAACTGTGACCAAGTGAATTACCGAAAGGAACGTAGTCCTGCACTTCGATAGCCAATTCATTGCTGCCGGCAAGCGAGACGCGGGCAGCCCACAGGTCGTGTGCAGCTCTCGCTGCCGCCTGGTCGCAGTCCGGCTCGGCCTCAGGGACTTCGTTCTGGGCAGAAAGAAAGCAGGGCAAATGTGGAGCCAACTTCGGATTGAATAAGATACGTTTTAAATCGAACTACACAAACATGAAAAGCTTTTTCAAAAACACATAAGTGTCTCTGGTCCGTATTATCTACAGACGGATGAAAAAGAAAAATTCTGGCATTTCTGACAATTACAGAGGCAGATTTTCAGGCATTTGCAGAGGCAAGTGGAACGCTACCATGAGACCGCCCATGTGGAATTTTCTCATCGAGATTCTCACCGAATCCGAGCCTGCAGGCTTCTCTTAAAAAACGAACGGCCGAACTACCAAGCTCACCATCAACACTTTGATTAAATTCTTCTCAATCCTGGACTTCTGATCGTCTCGCAGAGTGGAAGCTGGAGCTTGAATTAAGGCTGCAAAAATGCGAACACAAGAAACACTCCCCAACTTTCCACCCATTCAAGCTGCATTAAGCCATAATAAGCCCTTGATACTGCCAGTAAAAAGAACAAGAATGGTAACCAGTAATTACTTTTTTAATTCTTTACAGACATCCTTTAGAATATCCTTTATAGAAACACATGGTAGAGCTGCATGAGAGCTCGGACCTGTCCCACCCGTTTCTCGTGTGATGGGACGAAGGATAACCTCTGCCTTGCGCTTCTGGCTGAAGTGAAGCCAGTGTTTGGCGTGTCCTGTAATCAATAGAAAGTGATCGGCCCGTGTGGCGACTGCAGGGGAAGCCTGCGCTCCCGCTCGGCCTGCTGGGAAGGATACCCCTGCCGATGAGCTCCAGCGCGTACGTGACGTAGTCCTTCACCTGGCCCATCAGGTAGGAGCACCTGAGCGCCGTGGAGAGGATGGAGGTGAGCAGGGTCCACCAGCGCTCCATGCGGTAGTCACACGTCACGTAGTCCAGCAGCCTGCGGGGCGAGAGTCATGCGTCATGCCGCCGCCGTCAACACAACACGAACAAGCCACGCGCCCGCTCACAGCTGAGTGCGGACAGCAGCAGAGCATGATGCTAACTGGAAGGCGGTGCGCTAGGATGCCAGGCGGGGGGGTGCCACTGTGGCCCCCTTTGAGCTTTGATTAAAACGCGCGTCTGTAAAATGCAAGATGCTCTGGACAACAGCGTTAGCCAGAAGAAAAAAAAAAACACATGCAGAAAGTGAAAGCAATGGCCAGAATTCCCACTCTGTAACTATGAGTAGCAAATCGTGAGGGTTCTCCCTGACCAATTCGGTAAAGTCTGCTACCCAGAGACAAAAAGCCACTTACTTTAAGGCTTTAGTGTAGTCCTTTGCATGATAATATTGTTCACCCATCTGCACCACTGCAAAACATTTATAAATGATAAAGCATTTGTCCATTTTTTACAAAGGGTAAAAAAAAAAAGCTGTACCGTATTTTGTACAAGATTTTTCACAAGGTGATAAACTTACTCAGGTGGCTCTTCATCCTTGGGCACTTGTACTTCTTGAACTGAGCCACAGCATTGCTTAAGAGAGCAATGATGAGTTCCTGAAACACATCAGCAGGAAATCACAAAGGCACAGTGGGCCAACATGCCTTTGGGTTTTCAACCAGTGGAAGAGACGGACAAAAATATCTGATACTTTTCATGAGAAAAAGCCAAAGTTGAAGGGTACTGTGAGCTGACTCCTGCTTCTAGTGACAAAGCACTGAGTCATCAAACTCTTCCTCCAGTCTGGCGGTAAGTTTTATACCTGGAGATTATGCAGTTGTGCAAAATAATGTTCATTTGGGATGGCCTCTTGAAGTGATTAATACCTTTGGCGTCAAATATCTATAGCTACACGTCTCAATTTTAGACATGTCTGCAAATTTAAGAGAAGGATGGAATCACAGCATATGTTTCACACCAGTTAATTCATTAGACATCTTCGGTATCACTTGTTAGAATGAGTACTTCAGTAAATGTCAGGGAGATACTCATGGCAAATAAGATGTGTTTAACAGACTATTACACTCCTATCACTGCTGGAGATGGCAGGAGGTAATACGTGTGCCTGTGACTGCATCAGTTCGATACTGCCATCTGCATTACCCCAAGATAAAAAACAGATGACTCAAGGTGCATTTGACTTGCTGCTTAAATACCGCACATTGCTCTGGTTTTAGAAATATACTAACCGAGTGAAGAACTCCTCTCTCTCGCCTCTGGAGAGCCAGGATTCCTACTTTTTCCTTCTCAGGATCCGGGGGATCAATACCTGCAAATGTAAGGTTTAAAATGTAAAAAAAAAAAAAAATGGGACTATGCCAGAAACAGAAGTCTCTAGACATTTTCCTTCTAATTCCTTTTCTTCATAGATATATGTTAATTTAGAGGCATACGCTTTTAAAAACAGAGGAATCTGCTGTTTTATTATAGAAGTATAGAAATGCCAATTGTGTCAAGACTAGGCTATCTGTCAGCCCTTCTTCATGTGACAGGCTGGGAGCTCTGCAGTACCCAATGGGAGGAGTGTGGTGTCTCTCACTGACGGGACTGAATGCCTGCAATGGCAGGTTCCCTCTCTTAGGGAAGTGAGCACTAGATGACTATTCCCAACCATAGCCTACTCTGCCAGGTCTGTGATACTGCTTGGGGAATCCAGGTCACAGAAGGTTAGTGACACTACACGGAAAACAGTCCGGAGCCACAAAACACCAAGAGCTGTCTTTTAGCTTGAAAACTTAAAATGGCCCTGAGATGAATAATTAATTTCCTCAATTAAGGCGACACCTAGTGGAACATGGGAGATAAAAGATATTTTATTCTAATGCAGCTAAAGCCACTGTACTGGTCCATTTTATAGAGTTCTAAGTACCTTTTTATGTTTTTTTTAGAAAACATTAATTATTGAATCACTGGTCAGGCTTTAACTAAGCTAACTGTGTTTTCTTACATATTGTTCAACAATGATAAACAGCTTCGCAGTGAAATCTTACACATGCTTAAACCTTCACTCACTTTGGTGTCCCTGTCTCCAGGGTCTCTGTCCGTAGAAATCGAGAGTTCCAGTGGGAGTCTCTAGCGGATCAGGGCCGGTGGAATTTGCAGAACCCTAAAAACATCGGAATCTCAGACTATAACAAAGGTGGTATCTTTAGTCCTGGAGAGCCAGGGCTACATGTGTCACCGTTAAAATAATTTGTAACATCTGGGAACAACTTTTGTTGGGAACAACTACATTTTAAACTCAAGAGCAGGAATTTTTGTTGCAAGGTATAGATCATTGACCTGCAGGACTGGGATGGCCACATCTTCTCTGTAATCAAAGTCAACAAGTGCTCTTTGGCAAGCAATTACATCACAACTACATATTACTGTACTTCATGTTATCAAGTGTGCAAAGCTGCAGCTGTAAATCAGCGTTTAGGGAGACTGGTTTTCTTAATGCTTATATGTGATGCCTCCGGGCTCTGCACCGATCTGAGCAGCAGCTCATTTTAATTGTTACATTTCAGTGCCTAGTCTTACTGAATGAATCCGTACTGATGAGATGTGAAACGCATCCGTAATATAACTGAAATACAAGGTTTCTAATTTCCCGAAAGTCAGATGTGAGATGCTATGCAATCGTTTGGGCAAAGCTTGGCCCTGGCACTTGATATCGCTGTCTCAGCTTTTTGTATTGCTACAGCAGATTCGAGTTACAATGACTGACCTTGTCTAGGCTCTGGTATCTCGCACAGGCTGGGGGAACGTGGGCCACATACCTCCTGAGGGCAGAGCTGGCTGGCCAGCTGTTTGCGCTCCTGTGCGTAGCAGGCTGCCTGCTGGTAGTAAAACCCCGGGTTTTGAGTCTGGATGGCTGTCAAACCCAGCTTAATAGCTTCATCAAATAGGTCGCCGAAGGACTGAAACCTAAAAGAGCCAAATCAACAGCTGAAACGAGCGCAATAATCACTTTATTGGCCATATACAATTTTTTGTATGAGGAATTTTGTCTTTTTGCAGACCCCAGCTTGCTCTCCATGAGCACACACAGACAGGGAGAGAAGCTGGGGGTCAGAGCAAAGGGTCGGCCATTTATACGGCACCCCTGGAGCAGTTGGATTAAGGGCCTTGCACAGGGGCCCAACGGAGTAGGACTCCTCTACCGGCCGCGGGATACACACCAGCAACCTTCCAGCCACAGGCGCAGATCCTGAGCCACAGTGCCACCCCTCCGCCCTGTCTGATAGGGCAGAGTAACACCTATCTGATCCTGCCTACCAGCCACACTGTGGTTTTATAAAAATTCAGTGGTTGATTCGTTGTACAAAGCAGCAAGAAAAAAGCTTAAATAATAGTGGTCAAGAGGGGATAAGGATAATTACTTTTTTAAATCCTTTTCAAAATTTTTAAATTGATTTTGCCTTCATCTTTTCTACATCATCAAAACCTCCAATCCGTAGTTTTAGCTTACCATCCAAGTCCTATAATTTTAACGTTCATCAGATGGTGTAAAATGGTGGTTAGGGATGTTTTACATAACACATTCAATTATTCTAAATGTTAAATGGATACATAAAGAACGCTAATCATTTTGTCACCCTCAATATGTGAGATATATTTTACCTGTATATTCTGTAGTTCTGTCATATTCACTGTTACTTCCGCACCTTCCTATTGCACTACAGTTGTTGTGTTACCTGCATTTTAAAGTGCACTGGGGTGAAAATTCCCTCTCACTTTTCACTAGATATAATGCATCACTCATCCACAGACTGATCTTTCCTTTACCAGGTGTTTAGTGTCTATGAATATACATTGTACTTCCACATCAGATGCATGAGAAAATGTCGAGACATGAAACTGAGCTATGCAGGATTAAAGTTGATCATAAAGTTATACACCCATGTTGTAAAACAGAGGAAAGCTGTGCAATAGTTCTGAGCAGAACAACAAATGTATTTTTAAGTTCTGAATTTTTTTGAAAATGTAATTTTCAATGAGGAATAACACAAAGTAGGTGGTGAATAGGTCAATCGACAAAAAAGAAAACCATGCATTAAGCCAGTTATTCCAGTTCAAGGGATGGTACATTAGTTACTTGCTGTACAGTGGAATCCTGAAGCAGGAAACAAAATAATAGCATTTTCACTGCCTGTAACTTTCTTTTTTTCAAGGTGCAACTGCGCCAACTGGAAGGAAACTCGAATGTCTCCTGGGTTCCCTGAGCACACGGGGAGGTATTTTTATTAAGCAGAGCACTGGCATTCATTTCACTTCTGGGTCGCTCTGCAGCGCTTCCACACTGAGGAAAAGCCTTACTGTTTGGACATCCAGGCAGCGTGCTCGAAGGCCAGCTCGGCGCTGCCTATCTTCTTCTTACACAGGTCGATGTGCTTCCTGAACTGCGCGATGGCATCCAGGGGTGTATTGTGCTGGAAACACAGCCGGCATATCTGTCAAAGCAGAACCAGAAGAGATCAGAACCGGTCCTTATGAAAACAAAATGTGTGTATTTTAGCCCAAAATGAAGACGCAGCCTCTTTCAGAGGCAGTACAAGGTAACACCATTAACCGATTTCTTCTCTTTTCATGCACCTTGTAGTTGATAAATCCGGCCATGGTCTTGATCTCCAGCATGTTGGTCTCGTGGGCTCTCAGCTCGTGCACGAGGTTGTAAGCAGTCCTGTAATACCTATTTCATACACAGCAGAGAAGATATGGTCAGACAGCGGACGCAGGGTGGCCAGTTCTAGTCTTGCACCATCCAGTCACCCTTAAATCATCAATACAGATAAAACATGGGACACGTATGAGTCTCGATCAATTTAGAAGCTCACCAATTCAGTCAGCAATGGTTAACTGTGGTCTGCGAGAGCTACATGATATCGGCATTTTCACTACAGTTAACCCTTTAAACAGTTTAAAGGGAGAAATCGTTGGACATGCAGAGACAGATGAACTGTGGCTCTTCAGGCCCAGAGTTGGCCATCGCTGAGCAAGAACATTATTCATTATTAGTCGTATTTTCTTACTCTTACTTTGATTCACATCGCAATAGGATAAAGAATCAGAAACTACTTAAAAATGGTGTTTTTAAAAAGGCAGCAAAGGTGTCTTTCACTTAAAAAAATCTCTATTTCTCAATCAGAAACATATTTCATTATGTAATACACTTCTTTTCTGCACTACATGTTTTTCAGAAATATAAACAAAAGTTCTTCTTAACGTGAATTAAAGTTTGAGGTGTGGCACAATGTATTTCTCACAAATTAACATAAACAGCAACTTTGCCAGGCCTTTAACAATCCTATTTTGTAGTAAATAGCTAGAATCTCAATAAAGAGAGCCTTACTTCAGAGCATTTTGTGTGTCCTGCTTCAATTCACTGAAGAACGCTGTCTTAAACTGATGTCTCACAAACAAAAGCTGCAACAAATGAGGGTTAAATCACTTATAACACTTATTTAAACTGATTTAATAATTACATAAAGAAAAGAGCATCTTGAACATCAATAATGTTATTATAATTAGTTGAAACACAAAAAACAAGACTAGAAGAATGCAGTTTACTAACATCTGCATATGAAATAAAACCAAATTCAAACTTTTGTTTTCAAGAGCACATCATACCTCATTACTGACTTGCAATTTCTGACTTGTAACAAAATAAACCACCCATTCATGTAGCTCACCTGATGGGTTGTTTTGTTCAGAAATTCTTTATGAGATTTCACCCTCCTTATTTCTGTGTAGTAATAGGTCTGAGCGTGCTCATAGAAGGCGTTCTCCAACCTGCAGAGACACAAGTCACCAGCAGTAAGCCACATTCAATGCCTTCCACCAGTGCCACCAAGCTCTGAGCGCTCCGCACAGTACTGGGCAATTGTCCACCGGCTGAACTGTTGAGCTGAGCTAAACCCAACTGGTGCAACTGCAGTGTTAAAAACCGATCCATTGCTGGATCATTAGTAAGCAGGTCAGGTGACAGTGTTACCAACTTCCATCGCTGCCTTACTTTAGTCAACGGACAAGAGAAACAAGAGGAGGAGGAATCTGGTAGCATTACAACTTAGGATAAAAAAGGAAAGGTTGATGACAAATGAGAGGGGCCATTCAGCCCATCAGGCTTTGGGAGTTAGTAGTTCATTGGTCCAAGGATCTCAACCAACTGTTTCTTAAAGGATGCCAAAGTATCAGCTTCAAATACATGGCTGAGTTGCTTGTTGCAGACTCCCACACCCCTTTGGGAAAAGAAGTGCCTCCTATTTTCCACCTCCATTTTATTTGGACAGATTCAGGCATTCAAGAAACGCTGGAATCTTGAGAATTCTGAACGAAAAGGGGACAGTTCGAAGGTTCAGATGTTAAAATGAATAACAATGGGCTGAAAAGGGGCCGTGCCACCAAAAATAAAGCAAGCAAGAGTACAAAACACATTGTCACCGGCAATGTATTTTGTGTTTCGCAGTGCAGTTTTGCACAAGATGTAAACTGGTGCTCTAGTGAAGGACTGTTTCTCTCCTGCGACCCTACACATCATGTATCGCAGCTGGCCATCAGCTCAACGTAGGTCCACCAGTGAAAAGGGCGTCTCATAGATAAGATTAAGGCTCTAACCCACCTGCTCCTCACAAATTACAAGCAAAACGAAAGCCTTCAGAGACAAATAGCGAAATGACAAATGCGGGGGCGTGTTATCTGCGATTGGCTGATGTTAGGATGAAATAATAATGTAGACATTTACTGTGCTCACATCAAAGGCTGAAGAGATTTCAAGTTACGGCTTTCTCACCTGATAATGTATCCCACCAGGTGATCGGTGTGCGGAAGCACAAAGAGGGATTTTCCTGAAAGGTCACAGGCGTTGCACAGAGCTGCGGCTCTCTCCGAAGCGATCAAGTCTTCTCCTACAGACGCCAACACAGGGAGACAATCCAGAATGGATGCCTGGGCTGAAAGACTAGTCAAGGAGAATCTCTCCAACAATAGCCAGGTCCTCTAGACTTCACTTATCACTCCTTGCCTTCCCTCTGCAGACGACGGCATCTCTATTACCACAAAACCCACCCCTTCAGGGAAAATAACAGGTGTAACCCACATAGATTATAGAAATAAAAACTTCCCGGTATGGGGGATGCAGAAATGTCAAAGCAAGAAGGGATTAAGAAAAAATGGATGACAAAAATGAAAAAGTACAGTAAGTGCAAATAATTGTCATTGTTTTGGAATCACATCTCTCCTTTCACCCTAAAACACAATTACGCTTTTAATCGAACAAACAGGTGAAACTGTTTTTGATGAGCACATATATCATTAATGTTCCTAAAATATTATCAATGGTAGGCACTAACACAAAAAAAAGCTGGCATTTGATTAAAACATTTCACAAAGAAAATGATGATGCCATCTGTAGCCAATCCAAATGAAACTGCTGTTCTTTCTCACACCAGATGATCTTGTTTCTCTCCCAGATCTGTTTATTTCACCAGATTGTAGTTCACCTAGAAGCGATACCTTAATTCAACACAGCTTGCAACCTGTCAAAAACACCTTTAAAATATGTGTATCAAAATTAAAAAAAAAACAAACAAGGAAACCAAAAGACACTGCGATTACCTGGGGGAAGAGGTGTTTTCTTCTGAATTAAAACAACTGCCACCTTTGTGTTCCTTCCTTGTAAACTAGTCCTAAAAAACAATGACAATTAGAAATGTGACTAGAGTGAGAGACTGTGTCAAAAACATTTGTTTTAAAATGTCATTAGTAAACTGCACTACTAAATTCCATCTTCACACACAGAAACCAGACAAAAAAAAACTACATACTAGATGCCAGACTGGAGAGATGTTATTCTTTTTTTTTATTTTAAGTCTCTCAATGTCGGTGTACGTACCTCACAATTTCCACCCTGGTCGCGCACTCTGACTGCTTCTCCTTCCACTGAACCTCATCCCAGTCCAGCTCATAGAACACCACGACCAGAGCAGGCACCAGATTCAAGTGCTTGTTCATCCAGCCAGTTTTGAGGATTCCCTTGGGAATGTACCACTCGTAGGAGGTCCTCTGAAATCACAAAGTTATGGAGGAATACAAACTAGCTAAATAAAAACTGTGAGGAGGCTTTAAAAACAGCCAAACAACTGCAATATGGGAATTGTCTGATCCATGGAGGTTACAGAACATGGATGCAGACTGTAAACATACTCATTGACAGAAATGACCTTCTTCTGCAGGCTCTGACTAAGCACCTCCAAGCCTGGCAGTGTGTTCCATGTCGTTTTCAGAAACGAAAAGACTACATGCACTATGGTGTCCATGTACCACATTGCGTCTCCTCAAAACGATCAAGCATGTCGCACAGAACACCACGTTTAAAACAAGAGAAAATACTGAAAAATAAAAAAGGTTCAATTTTTGGATGAAACATTGCCACAGTGGATGGAACAGCATTTTTGATTGTACTTTGTCAGAGCTGTAGTTTACTACTTGGTTGCTAACCTGACGCACGAGATAAAGGGACAGCAACACCAATTAACATCAGGGCTATTGCATGAGCTCCATTTACACTAGTTAAAACAGAGTATAGAAAAAAGCAGCATGCTAGCTGAAAACATTCCCAAAACACAGAGACCTCATGTTAAAGTAGATAGCACTTCCTCTGATTAGTCATGGACTTTATGTATAAACCCTTCATTTGGAACCAAAAACTAAAAGCAGACCTTGCTATTTTGATTTTTTTTTACACTCTCAGTGGTGAACCCTCTATTTGTTGTTTTGGCAAGGCAAAGTCTCACCTGACAGTCCAAAGTAAAGCATTTTTGATAAGCAGCAAAGAACAGGGCATTGATTTTTTTTTTGCTTTGCAAAAGAGACACTACAAGCTTCTCTCTTTCTTATAGTGCAACTCAATAACTGTGTTTAACTGAGAATTAATCCAGTGAGCCATAGTTTTATTGCAAAATCTGTTTAACATGTCTACCAGGAGACTAAAGCCTTACAACAAAGCTGTTGATAGTTTCTCACCTTTTCATAGCACAGATTAAATAGTCAAACTATCTTCTTTTGTAAATTGACATTTAAACGGTAAAAAAAGGATCTCATCACAGTCTTAATGAAGATAGCCCTCAGCACTGCCCAAACAACACAAGAACAGGTGACTGACACTACAAGCCCAGCTAGACAACCAGAAAGAAACCATGTGACTGCTTGAACCGCACTCAGATCTGGGCAATATGGCTACATAACCAAAACACCTCCTACAATCAGCGCACTGTGTTGAGAAACAAATGACATTAGAATTCCTTCTATTCCTTCTGCTGGGACTGTGAAATTTAATAAGTCGGCTACAGTTCATCTCAGCGTTCCTGCTCTTACTTGTTAGTTTCTGCTGTGCTAAAAAAGACAGGCCAATTAAACTGTAAATTCTGACTGGGGGTTTAAGTGAACATTTCAGAAATAAACAAATCATGTAGCGATGATAACAAGCACATTGTTTTCAACATTCTTACCCCTAGGCAGACACTCCTTCAGTTTTCTCGTTCCAAACAAAAAATACTCCAAACACAAATAAAAGAAATCTGTCCTGATGTGGATGTGCACAAGCTGACTCTCTTGGTGCTGGCTAGGTAGGTGTCTAGGCTGCTCCTTATCCCAGGAATAATGAGAAAACAACATGAAGAAAACAAAGCCACAGCTGGTATTTTAAAAGCAAATCTTACCTTGGTCCTGCATTTTGGGTACTCATGGTCCCCAGGCAGTACTTTAAAAGAAATGGGAACTCGGTCAGCCCTTCTGTTGGCACAGAAAGCATCCCAGATCGCCCTGTGGACAGCGTTGTACACCACGTCCAGTCCCGTCAGGGCCACAAAGGCCATAGGGCGGCAGCACAGCTCTGGCGGCAGATCCCATTGTGGGGCACTCATCTTCCCTGGGCCAGGAGCAGGAGCTGAAGAAGAAACATCCGTCACTCCAAGCAGACTTCCAGGCAGAGGGTTAGCCCTGCAGGTATCTACAGCTCTCGGCTCCTGGGCTCGAGTCTGGATGCCAGGGGGTGTTCTGTGTGGAGTTAGTTTGTTCTGAATGCACTTTACTGGGGAGAGTAGGTATTTTCCCTGGTGATGGACTGACGTCCAGACCAGTATGTGGTGCCCCCTGAGCCCCCCACACAGCGGCAAGCTGAAGGTTTGGCAAAAACGCCGTTCAGCCGGAAACAGGGTGAGGAAGCTAAAGAGACAGACCGTTCAAAATAGTTCTGTCAGCTGAGGATGCTGGTACACAAAACACCTGACAGAAGAGTACTTCTGCAACTCGGGACTAGGTTAGAAACAAGCAGACCCAAAGCCTGAACAAAGTAAGATGATGGATTAAGGCATCGGCTATCACTGGGAGGGAGAACACGCACACTCCACACACAGAGACAACCCCAATCCAGGATCGAACAGGGGCTCCGAGGTTTCGAGGATGCAACGTCAAACAGCTGTCATCTTTGTAAATAATTCATTTAGGGGGGAAAAAAATAGTGTTGTCATCATATCTGCTTCCTGCGACTCTCCGAACCCCAGAATTATAACGAAAAACAGGGCGGCAAGGTTTGCAGAGTGCTATGCTGTATTAAGATCCGCTTTGTATCAAACCAGATCTCACAGAACAGGCAGAATCAAGTTTCATTTTCAACCCTCCCGAATCCTTAAGTACTACGATCGCTTCGTCTGCGGGGCATTTCAATAATGTGCATCAAAGCGTCCAAAGGTACCGTCACCTTCACTGCCAACTTCACGAACCCTTCTTTCACCGTGCTGGTACTGACGGACTCCGTCACCTCATCTCTCAACAACACCGTCCACAGCTGCTCGACCCAGGAAACTGAAACGCCAAACGCGTTGATTGACAGCGCTAAGGACCAATCAGAGAGCCACAGTCTGGAGATGGGCCGCGTCCGACACCAGTTACCAACGGCGACGAAAGGGGCCGTAAGTGGATGCCGAATTATCGTCACGTAACTGTTAGTGTCGTAAAAAAAGGCGTGGCCTAGGGTTTCAAAGATTAAATACCGTAATGGTCTATAGCCCTAATGGCAAAAACTGTTTCGTTCCCTTTACACATACATGTCCAAATACCATAGCTTATAATAACAATGGGAGCAGCAGCTGTTATTAAGGAATACGGGTATTAGAAAGCGTCAGGTTATCATTAACATAGCTTGGGATGTAACATAGCTTAGAAGCGAAGATGGGCTTTTACTTTAACTGTTCAGGCCGTATATCCGCATTTGTTACGCTAAAGCGCGATGTGTTATTTAGATCACGTCCAGGTTACTGAGTCATTCGCAAAGTACCAGCTCCTGAAGTGTGCGCGAGGAGCGACGCGGCCGGCGAGGGTCAGAGGTCGGGTGTCGGAGGTCAGGGGTGAAAGTTGACGGAGCATGCAGACTGCCGAGGGAGGCAGAGACGCTATAGGCAGCTCTCCTGACGTGTGTGAGATCATGGTAGTCTTGCTTGCGCTGTTGTAGTGTTCAGGCGTAGACGGTATTTACTGTATTTACACTTTGTGCTTACGGGGATAAGGCAAAACATGACCGCCAATGAAGATCAGGAGGTAAGATGGAGGGGTGTCTGTGTGACGGCGCACATGCACATGCATAGGCGAGGGGAGTTCAGTTTAGTACTGTATTTCGTTATTGTAATTAATGCGATGTAGTGAGCCGAAATGTATTTCAGCTTGTTCCCAGCTCAATCGTCTACCGCGCCTCTGTCCGGTTCTTTAATCACCCGTTAACCCTGTTGTTTAGGGTTTAAATTGTTTTCACTCACGATGAATTATTTAACTTGCATTCAGACTACTTAACGACAGGCGTGTCGGTTACGTTGGACCCAGAAAATAACCCGTATTCGTCACTGACATCTATCTGCAGAAGAAGTGAAATTGTTATCACCCTCTGGCTTCAGACGTGAACACAGACCTGCAGCTTCAGATTGGCTGCTTAGTGAAGATGCGTTACTAAAACAGGTTCAAACAGCAACGACATTTAAACTGTTTGGGGGATTTGGAAAGAAAACATCCTAGCTGTTTTACAGTAAATGTAGAAAATGTTTTATATCTTCCGAAGTTCAACAAGTAGTTGCTTGATACATTCATGCCAGTAACAGGGTGCTTGAAAAATTGAAATGTATGCCTGGCCTCAATACAAAACAAGTGTTATATAAATATAAACTTTTCTTTGACTAGTGGCGACAACAATGAATAATGGACAGGCACAGTGATGTAGTCAAGTAGGAAAACCCGCAGGAGTGATATGATTTTGTCAGGATGCAAGCACGTACTGTAGCTAGTATTTAGTATTACAAGCTATTGGGTCCCTTAACGATTGAGATATTAACAAGTTTTATGTATGGAAAAGCCACTTTTAAAGGAAAAAGTCAGCCCATGATCAAACAGTATTTACCTTGACATTTTGTGCTAATATAATATTTTGGAGAGTTGTCTGAACAAAGCATGTTCTTGGGTTAAGTCAAGACTGTATTTGTGGTGCTACAATAAGGCCTGCACTGCTGAATTCAGGTCAGTTCTTTTGGTTCCTGAAGGAGTCTGGCCTCTGCTGGGAAGTGTCAGTTGTTTGCGTGAGCGTGTGCTTTTTTGTGCCATGCAGATGTGTGAACTAACACGACGCTGCCCTTTGTGTGTCTCGTTATAGATGGAGCTGGAGGCTTTACGTTCCATTTATGAAGGAGATGAGTGTTTTAAAGAATTGAGTCCTGTTTCTTTTCAGTACAGGGTGAGTTACTATTATTTTCTTTGTTGTTGTTTTTTTTTTGTTTATAAGTTCCACATGTGTAGAGATGTAAGTGGCTAGTTTCAGCCAATGTGTGGGCATGGGAATTTAATTATAAACTGCCTGACCCTAATGCTTTTACAGATAGGAGATCATGAAGATCCTAAAGCTTTCCTACTAGAGATCTCCTGGCCTGAAACATATCCAGAAATTGCCCCCAATATATCGCTGGATGCCTTTTTCAACAACAGAATGTGAGTATGGCCTATGGAATTAAAAGATAACTTCTTCAAATCCAGTTCACTGGTAAAGGGCTCATACTGCTTTTGTAAGGGAATCAGTTACTGCCAGAAGATCCTAAGAAAAAAAAGTGTCCTCCTAGCGTGGCCATTAAATACGTAGTGAAAGGTATGCTTTTAAAATTGAGTGATGCATTTGCAAAAACAAATGATCTTTTCAGCCTTAAAGCCATCAGAATAGGGTGGCAGCTGGAAGAGAACAGTAGTTGCACTTTGTCTAGAAGACACAGTCCTAGGATCAGTACTGACACTGTGCAAAGAGAAATGTATAAGATGCTCACTTTAGGTGTCTGTTTTGGTGCTACAGTAAATCTGTGAATATGTTTATACTGATACTGTCTGTTCAGATTCTGATTTTCCTTTTTTAAGTTCCCCAGAAGTGAAGAAAAGTATTATTGCCCAACTAGAAGAGCAGGTTGAAGCAAATCTGGGAACTGCCATGATGTACACGCTGTTTGAATGGGCCAAAGAAAATCAAGATTTGCTTATGGAGAACCATCAGCCTGTGATCAATGCAGTGGTATGTTGTCCTGTTCTTGGCACCTGTTTATTCTTTATTCCTGAACAGTGTCACTGCTTAATTTGTGAAGATGTTGTAGATATAAATGTGCCACAGCTATTATTTTATTTTACTACATACAGTAGAACACAATAGCTACTTTGCAAATGGTCTCAACACAAACACAAATTGCAGTGTTTGCAATGTGACAGGTCTTAGCACATCTGGGCCTGTCTGTTCTTCATGAACCCGTCTTCTCAAGTTTTGTCTTTTAAATAAATTTATTTACAATTGGTACTGATTGTATGACTGAAAGTGTACTGCACTTATACAGGAATGAAGACCCTTAAAGGGAGGAGTTTTCCCTCCACACCTTAAAAATTGACTTTTTCTTAAGCAATCTGTGCTGTCTGCCATTATTAATGACCCATTTTTAGAGTGGAATTCTGTGTTAATTTGGAAACACTAGAAAGAAAGATTTGCCTTGCCTGCTAGGTGTATCCTTTCCCTAGATGCAAATGGTATTTATCTCTTTTCTTGTTTTTTTTCACATTTGTATTACATTCTAATACACTCTTTTAGAAATTCCAAGTTTTTATTTCTGAAAAGCTTACCAAACTTAAGATGTTTTTTGTTATGCCATCTTTTAAAAGTGATCCCAGGAGGAGGTTAAGTGTTAGTCTCCCTACACTAAAGAGGCGTTTCCTGCTCTACGCCACCAGCATTGCTTTGTGTCCTTGCTTACATTTTTAATAGCACACTTTCAAATTGGTTAGTGACCAGTCAGATGTATTGTTTGCCATGTGTTTTATGTTTTTATGAGTGATAGAGTTTGTTCTGTGAGGTATAAATACTCCGCTTAGTCACTGAGATTGTGATGATAACAGTTTTTGTGCTGTAACATTACTAGCAAAATATTGGAGGTAATTCATTTGTTTTTTGGGATTTTAAGAAGTCAAAGTCATGATATGATCTTAAGTCACTCCTTTGAATGAACGGTGGGCAGAGAGATCCGAAATAAGTCAAAATTCAACCTCCTTCCACACGTTTTCAAACCCAATAAATAGATCCATTCAGTGTTTGATCAATTTAAACCAGCAGTGCTTAGGTTGGCTCTCCCATAAATTACTGCTTAAAATACTGCATTTGGAAACATCCTGCAAAGAAGGTGTGGTACCTCGGAGAATGATTCTTTTTTTTCTAAACGCTCATTGATTTGGTATTTCCAGACCCTGACCTCCAACACGGAAAATTCCCTGGCCACCAACCTGAGCTCTTCGAACAAGAAAAGAGAGAAGAAAGAACAGTTAACAAAAGCTCAGAAGCGGAAGCTAACGGGGAGAACAGGTGGGAAATCGCACAGCAGTTCTCTTCATCGGCACTTAGTTTACACAGATTTGTTCAAAGTCGTGCTGTGTTAAAAGGTGGCTGCAGCCTCAGACTGCCCAGAATTTGCACAATGGCTCATTTGTGTAAAAGAGAAATATTTTGAGTGTTTTTTTTCCATTTGGAAAGTGTCTGTCTTAAACTAGTTCCTGCAACACTTCCCTGCTGTAAAGGGGTGGTGTACAAATTAGCAGATGACAGTTACTTTCCCAAAAGACATGCGTGATCTTTATTTATTTCAAGATGAGAGTACTGGTCCTCTCCAGGACTGACCAATCAGGGGACAGCGTTTCTCTCTTGGTTTGGTACAATGCTAAGTCTTCTTAAGCCTTGTAATTTTTACCAGTGACAAATTTGTAATCACTGAGGATTTGGATGGAAGTACAGTCCTGCCATTCATATGCAAAAGTCAAGAGAACTTAACTTACATTTAAAATTTCTGTTGGCATTTTTGAAATTCTTCCCTTGGTACAGATTGCAACAAGGACTTGTATGTGCTGTGTCTTAAGTGCACAAAAAAAGCTCCTTTACTGATTCTACAATGCCGTAGTGCTTGAAGATGTTAATGTCTCGGACAATTGAATTAAACCTACATAGGATTACAGATCCTTACGGACATGTTATTTCATTTTTGTTTTATTAAAAAATGAGATTTTTCTAATTTGGTGTTACTATTACTATTTTTTTCCATTTGTGCGCTAACTGGTCTGCTGACTACTGTTGTGTCATGCAAATGACGAAGTCCAGGTGTCTGTGAAGCAGAAGTCTCTTTATTTCATATGCATATGGAAGTCCGGCTTGCAACCACCAGACTTAAAAAAATTAGTTGGTTGAGGTTGTTCTTTTTTCCTTTAAACCAAAAGGGTTTCTTTTGCCCCTTTTTAACCAATTGTTAGGCCGGCACCCCTTGCCATTTATTTTTTTTTATTTGCAGACTGGACAACAGTTAGTTCTTTTCATGTTCTGGGCGTGCAGCCAGCTTACCAAATACATGCCCCTTATCTTACTGACCAAGGACAGGCGGCATCTTTATATATTTGAGCGCAAAGCTAACTTCAAGACACTGGACTGCATAGTTTGCAAAAATACAAAAAACAAGAAATTATATTATCTCACTTCCCAGGTGGCTCTCTTATCTCATCACTACTGACAGACCATCGCAATGCTGATTGTCACTTATTCGTCTTTTGTTAACAGATAACAGGGGTGAACTTCCACGAGGCTGGAACTGGGTGGATGTAATCAAGGTACAGCAGTGTTCTTTCTTCATGTGAAGTGTTTTAATTTCAGGGTAAAGAGGTTATGCCCGGGTGTGATGGGCAGTGTGTTCTTGAGCAAACTTTTCTTTTGCAAGAGAATATATATATAGTATATATTTAAGGAATAGAATCAGTTAATAGAATACATGTTAGAATTCATGTAGTTAGTACAATGTTCAACATATTAAAAGAAGTTGTAAAATACTAATTATTTAGTCTTGCCTGCTGTTGCATAACTAGGCTGTGAAATTCTTGGCAGGGCTGTTTCAGTAACTATGTCGTTGTTTCACTTTCTTTCCTCTCAACCAACCTTGACCGAATTTGTAAATCATGACAATACCTCCATGAAGCATGTAAGTGTTCATTTTTTGAAAAAATGCCTATTTTTACCGTTCGCTTCATTTTGTCTTTAACTTCATTTTGGGTCTCCTCAAAGTTTTACCAGGGTTTGCTGTTCTTGTAGAGCACACGGCTATAAGTATAAACTTCACTTATGACAGACGGTATCTATTGGTGAGAAGTGGTGATGTGTTTCAGTGCCGAGCTCTTTCTATGGGAATGCCGTTGTTTGAAGTCAGTCAAGAGCGTTTTCCTCTCGGGCTGGAGAGGCACAGACCGCTGGAAATGAGCGCCGTTATATTTTAAAGACATGCAAAGCAAAAAAAGATAGGCATAGGTATCTGTTTGGGCTTTACTTAAGTGTTCTTTAGTAAAGTAAAGCTTTGATGAACAGTACAACATTCATAGTATAAGATTTTTAAGCGGTGCCCACAGACACTTGAGTGCTCTGTGAAGATGCCTGTTTCTGGCCACACCAAACTGTGATAGCTCATCTGTTCTACATTAACAAGTGGTGTATATTCTTGAGATGCATCAAACCAAAAACATGCAAATGAATGGCGCATGAATTGAGAAGGACCTATTATTTAAGATTAATAACTTGTATAAATTTATATCTATAAATTAAGAGCCAGGTTAAATATGAACTAAGATGGAATAGTCCTGGTAAACCTGTGTACTTGTGCTTGATGTTGTCTTCACTGAAAGACGTAAATTCCCCTAAACCTGTTCTTTTTTCTTTCAAGCTTAGCAAAACAGGTGGTAAGGAGGAAGACTAGCAGCTGCTCTGGCGAACTGGATGTCCAGGGGTTTTAAAATCAAGTGCAATGAAAACACACGACCTCACAGACCTGCGCGACACCATGCTGCTCGACAGGAGCCAGAATCCTCGCGGACCTGAGAGTCTATCAGAATTAGAAAACATTTTGAAAGGAGTTTTTTTTAAAGAATAAGACAGGTTTCATGGACTTTAGATGGATGGAGCACTCCTAGAAGAGTGGTGTTTGTCTTTGTAAAGCAACATAAAATGACACCTCGTTGTTAGTGCTCAGTAACTTGTTTCCTGATATTTCCTGCAATTAGGTACAGGTTGAAGTATTTATTTCAGTTCAGTGTACATTAAACATTTTGCTCAGCTCCAGTCCTGGAGGGACTGGTCACTCTGTATCTCCAGCACCTAAAGACCTGTACACAGGTGTTAGGTTAATCCAGTTAGGTCCGTAATTGAATCGCTCTGTTGGTGAAGAGAGACACCAGTAGGAAAACTTGTAGAAACAGCAACCCTCCCTGCACTGAGGTTAACGCAGTACGTTTCTCTAGAGCCTGTCTGCGCCGTTACCTCGGAGTGAAAACACGGTGGTCAGGGCGCTGGTAAAAGTCCGATCTTTGGCACGGATTAGTAGAGACCACCATTCATCTGTCTTCTTACACACGGCTTGCTGTGTAGCTGAGGCAGGTTTTGGTTGCGATCCACAAATCGTAACAGAAGACATTTACTGTTCCATCAGCCCAATTGGAACGTTTTTGTTCGCGGAGTTTTCATATCTAAATGCAAGCTGCACAAAGGACAGATCACAAGATGACCTAGACTTTTTGCAAATTTTTTGGCACTGTGGCTAAGGGTCTGCGCCTGTGGCTGGAAGGTTGCCGGTTCAAATCCCACGGCCGGCAGAGGAATCCTACTACGTTGGGCCCCTCAGCAAGGCTCTTAAGGGCTCCAGGGGTGCTATAAAAATGGCTTCTCTCTCCCCATCTGTGTGTCTCATGGAGAGCAAGCTGGGGTCTGCGAAAAGACAAATTCCTAATGCAAGAAATCGCGTATGGCTAATAAAGTGATCTTATCTTAGCTTAACATAATGTAAAGCAGAAGCCGTCTGTTTTCAGTAACAGCTTACTCCAGGACTGGGTTGGCAGTGAGCTGGAGCCCATCCAGCAGACAGTGGGTACAGGGCTTCACAGGACAATGGACGTGCAACCATTAAAGATGCCACTTAACCTAATCTAACAAAGGCCGGGCCTGTCTTGGGGCTGTGGAAGGAAACCAGAGCCCCTCTAGTGAAAACCATTGTGGCCACAGTGGGTGCTTGCACGCTCCACACACAGTTCCACAGTGGTGGAACCCGGGGCCAGACTTCAATCCAGGGCCATAGAGCGCTGAGGCACAATCCTCGTGAAGATGTTCTGCAGGTGTGTCGTCATGGGGAGGACGGTACCTCAACCCGCATATGTGGCCTAGCAATGTGGCAACTGCAACCACTTTTTTTTAATGGCAAATGGATTGAAAAAAATGTAAACAAAATCTACACCCAAAACCCTCTAATGCTGTGATTCAGTGTGAAGTGGGGGGAAACGTTCATGAGGCATATCTAAGGGGGGATGCTTGTGGAGGCTCTGCTGACTTTTGAGGCCTGTCTTTTTCACAAGATATTCATCTTTTAAAACAACTTCTTTTTTAAAAAAAATAAATAAACGTTATTTATCAGTATTCTGGTGCACTGTTCTTATGTTACCCTCAAATCTTTGCATTTACCGTGGGCATTACATTGTATGTTAATTTCTTGCACATTACAATTTTAATAAACTTTTTTTTTTGCTATTGATGCTGCCTGAAAGGCGCTCTTGTCAACAGTCCAGTGTTCACTTGTCCGAGCCAGTTGTCCGTCTAAATGCAGTTTCCATGGTAATATATTTGAATGGATGAGAGGGCCACAAAACTCTGCGCCTCATAAAAGGAGGCTCTGTTAGGTGCAGGATCCTCAAAACAGCCTCAAGCCTCTGCAGCCAGTGTATTTGTTTATTCTTTTCATTTGTCTTCTTCAAAAAAACGTCAACGTACAGTAGGTCGCGTATAATTTAATTCGAAAGCAACAAAGCTGATTTCAGCGTTGGACAAAAAATGACGGTGGAGCAGAGGATCGTGCTCTGCTGAGCTGGTCGGAAGCACCCCGAGTTTTGCCTTGAGAAGGGGGTGTCGGGTGCTCCTTATTCCATGATTTATTCCAGTACCCCTTTCCCTTGTTTTCCGGGGACTGACTTTATTCCCGACTGGATATTTGGATTCTGAGTGCTGTACTTCACATCTTGACAATTACACATTTGATCAATGTCTCGGTTTCTTTAACTCCAGGTAAAACTGTCGAGACCCTACTGGTAATTAACCGGTATTTCTTTTCTCAGAAGGTAATTGCTTTTTTAACACTTAAAATAGCACGCAAAAACAAAAAATAGCTGTTTTCAGCTTTCGGTTACAACTGACTTTCTACAGCTTTCATAATTGGGACGAGGGGGGGGGGTGTTTCTCGATGTTTATATGTGCCATGTTTTGGAAGAGTGCATTAAAATAAACACTTTTTTGTTGTTGTCACGGAACCTAAAATCTAAAGCGCAGTTATGTTGTATCTGATGACTCGTAGACCGTTTAGGAAAGTAAATGATATTAAACTCGACACAGGCGGGGATGTTGTAAGAATGAAGAAGGTTTCTACTCGTTATTTTAATAGTGTGTCGGGTTACGGGTATTTCACTTACGAACACTTAAAAAAAACATTTAAAAAATGAATGGAAGTCTACCAGAGAAAGGCAATGTGTCAAGAGAACTCAAAGCCGCCTTCTGCGGTATTTCAGTATCCAGTCGACCTGTTACACAGGTGTGCTGGGAGCCCGGACGGAGCCGCACAGCGCAGACATGTCCTGCGTCCGGAGAAGCCAAACGGCCCGTGTTCCCACCAGAAGAAGACAAGACGTGAGAATGACACCGTTTCGGAAACAGGCCGCAAGTGCACCGGCGAGATGCTCGGCTGAAGGGACGAGAAAGGTGAGATCGGCTACTGTACGCGTCGCGGAACGAACACCGCCGCCTCTGTCGCTGCGTATTACGGTTCGTTTACGTTTCCTTCCGCTAGATGGCGCAAAAAACCCCGCTTTTCAACGGTGATAACGTCAAGCCGGAGGTAAAGATTAACGTCACCTTTATTTCCAAATCAGACCTTCGGGTTTTTAGTGTTTTTTTTTTCCTGCTTATAAAAATAAGTAACGACGTGAAACCTTCAAAGATCTGTTGCGATTTTCACCTTGTGTGCAAAAAGGCCTAGGCCGGGGTTTTCTCTATAAACTCCTTTAAATGGTGTTTAGTTGTGTCAGCTGTGGAATAAAACGTCTTTAAAGGACTCGTTTCTAGAAGAAGAAAAAACCCTCTTCTGCTATTGAAATAAGTGTATTGAAAACACGGTTTTCGGAAAAAGGAGTATTTAAAAAAAAAAACAAGCTTTAGGCGCAGCGTCCTGTAAACGCTGTTAAGCCAATTCGGACTTTCCTGTCATTGGAGGTTTGTGGTTTTGGGGGTGTAGTTCGTAGGAGGGGACGACCAATTCACTCCCACCAGTCACCATAAAATTACATCCAGAGCTGTTTTGGATGGAAGCGGTCCGGGGCCATATACAGTAGGCGTCGGCAGATGCGTTTCAGTGCGAGATCTGTTCCCTTGAGCTCAAGCGTTGGAGCTCTTTGCTTTCCAACACAAACACGCACCGCGTTACAGAGATGAAGGATTCACAAAGCATCTGGAGAAAATAATTGTTCCCGCGAAGGCAATGCGCTGATCTTAAAAGAATGTGGACTTATTACGCGAACAGCAACATTTCTCCCAAGAAACAGAGCAAAGTAAGCGCAGTTGCATTTCATTCACGTCCCGTTGTTTTGCGAGTGAAGTTTCTATGTATCTGCATTGTGCATCACACGGATATGAATATATATGCATGAAAACGTGTTATTTAATGCATTCATTGCCGGCCTTTCCATATCAGCATACCATTTTCTTAGCGACACACTTTTAATTCATCAAGGTACAGATTTATAAAGAAACCGGATTAATTAACCAGCCTACTGAAAGTCAGCCGCTTTAACGCGGGGCTTCACAAATGTCCATTTCATTCTTTTTTAGCGTCATAACTTTTTTTAAAATTAATTGAATCATAAATAAGGCCAATGCTCCTTTCAAGAAATACACGGTTAACTTTATTTTATAACTCTTTATCGATTAAGAGTATCTTGAGTGCGCTCTTTGGAATCAAAAGCTAAACGTTGTGAGCAGCGCGACTACTTATAACTGTTGACAAGGCACTCATGAAGACTCGAGTCTCCAAAAGAATGTATCGGGAGCGGTAGAAAAGCCACTGAAACCATTTATTCTTTCTTTCAGGGATACAGAGAAGTTGTAGCCCTCCCTCCGCTCGTCAAGGTCTCGTCCTCCCTCCCTGTGTCTCAGGTAAGCCTTTCCGGGCGCAGCCTCTGCGAAGCTACCTGCCAGACGTACAGGATCCTAAGAGCCACACCGCCATAGCTTTGCACAATCAGTGAGTCTTCACACATGCATTGAAACACGAATTTACATTTACATCCCCATGGAAATGTTACGTTTGTTTTTGCGATTCTCGTCGACTTATGCTAGATGTGCTTCACGCGCGTAATCGGCTTATCGATTTTTTTTTCTATCAGAGAGCTGGGCCATTCGAATCATATTCGAATTCAAGTCATTATGATATTAGTTTTTCTCCCAGCAGTATCGTACAGTCCACCCAGGGAGCTATTTAAACGGCTGTTAGATCTCCACTAGACACGCCGTCTAAGAATGTGGTTTTTGTTTTTTCTTAGCAGGACGTTAGCAACAGTATTCAAAATTCATCCCAGAAACTTCAAGATCTGTTCTTCGCTCCTCACCTTATTAAGCCCCACAGGGCATTTCACAGACCACCGGACTCCAAGGCCGTGGGGGACAGGGTAGGGACTGCCGTGCCTCCGAGTTCCTCTTAAATTGAAATTCCTATTTTAAAGAACGGGACTTTACTGATGATCAAAATACGGTATAACTACCCCCCCCACAGAACGGCAAATTCAGTATTCAACACTTGACCTAAACTGCGCTCTGCGATTAATCGAAACGCGGAGTCGAATCTTGTTCTTTGCTAACGAAGCTACGGTACTCTTGTCGTAAGTACCGTGGTAATAATGTCGCGAGTGGATTGTATTTTTTGACGTGGATGTTTGTCACTGCAGTGAATGAGGCCTCTGGAAGTGTCCTGGTATAGAAAGACATGTACCATACGCTCGTTCAGACCTTTAAGAGTAGAAAACCCCAGCTAGTGGGTCTCAGTAAGTTTGATCCAAGTAGATGGACTTTATTTTCTACTGCAGAAGCTGAACAGCCACTGGAATGTGCCTTATAAAAAAGTCAGTGTGGAAGCACAGTCGCAGATCAAAGCTCACCTACGGGTAAGTGCAAGGATGCACCTAATTAAACGAAGTAAATCATTCTTTCTCATCAATTATTTCTACTTGTTTTTTATTATGGGAGTTGTATTTCGTTCAAAATCAAAATAAGCACATGCTGTTGTCAGGTTAGACTCTGCCCAAACTAAGTTTACGATTTGTTCATTTTTAGCACCATTTCCACAATCGACATGGAAAAAGAGGTGACCAGCGAGGAGACACCTTTACAACAGCAGCAGACAATGGCAATGAAACGCTATATGTACTGAAAACTGAAAGCTTTTTATTAAAGGTGAGGCAGTGAAATTGGACGTTCTTTATATTTTCACTATTTGAAATTGAAGGGAAAGTACTTTTCAAGTATGTGAACAGGAGATCACCCCCCCCCAAAATAATCTGGTTGCTGCAGGAAGTAGCGTTGGTGGACCGGTAGGTGGTGCTCTTCCATCTGTCTGAGGAATTCCAAAGCAAAGCCCTGGTATGATGACAAGGGTGGCCATCAAGCTCCCGAAATACTGCACACCTTAGGACAGAACAAGAAATACTGAAACAGTCGGGACTGAAAGCAACAACTGTTACAACTGTTCTAAATAGAGTCAAGGCAAATAAAAAAAACTATTATAATCAGTCATTATCTGTAGGATTTTCATTATTGTTTTACATTTCCCACGACTTATATATCTTTTATTATTTTGACTCCTTTATCATCTATGTATTGGCTTACGTGATCAGCTGTTCACAGATCCTGTCATTGATCTTCAGCAGAAAGTCATGTTTTGTCACAAGGTGTCTCTTCTGGATCTTGACGGCTCTGGCCATCCTTCTGATGAGGTGTGTGGAGAGTCTGACTGCTTGCAGTCAAGAACGATCATTGTCTGTCAGAGAAACTGACTAAATTCCTGTTCAGGTTTGTTCAATCTCACCTGCCTGAATTGCCGCTCTGTTGGATGGGTGAGGCCAGTCCTGACTTCGCCACCTGATCTGACTAACTGACTCCTCCACCTGACAGGAGGTCGCTGTGCAGAGACTGACAGGTGTGGAGCAGCAGCTGCAGAACATCTTCCTCATACTGTGAATCTGTACTTGAATCCTGTCTTGAATTCACAGTCTTATGGAGGGAAAAAAGTTTTGGAATTTTCATCCAAAATAAAAACATATTAATAAAGTCGCAGAGATGGTGGTGTTGTGCTCTACCTTCAACTGGGAGTCCCATCTGTAGTATAGCCCTTCATTCTGTTTCTTAATATATGAAAATCAAACTCCATTATTTGGGGTTTACAACTTTCTAATTAATCAATATTCTTTTGAAAGGAATTTGCACATAAGAAAAAGTTGCAAAGTGGAAGCCATTCAGCTACTGTAGTTAGGTGCACATTTTGATGGCATTCTGCCCTTTTACAGGACAGGGGTTTAAAAACGTTGCTAGATGAAGAGGACCAGCAGGCTGTTGTTGAGATTCCTTGCAAGTTATTCCAGAGCCTCACAATGCTGCAGGATCACAGAGAGCTGTTGGAGAGCTGCTACGCTGGATCCCCGGGAACAAGCAGTGACTGGACTGTCAGCTCGGAGTCACTGCATCCAGAGGCTTCATCACACACCCCACTGCCCAGCCTCAAAGGTCTCCATAAAGCAACTTTACCAAACGCAGACAATGCTAACTCCAGCCGCGAGGCCAAAGGGAGGCAGTTATCGAGTGAGTGCAAGACTGACCTCCTGCTCTCCGACGATGACAAAATCAGAGACATAATCAGAGGAAATGTCAGGTTACCTTATTCTGCGAAGAAGAAGAGATTCATGATCTACATTTGCGGGGGATATAGAGGTGAGTTGGCTGTGATCTGGACAGAACGTAATATTTTTGTGCTACAAGCAACACTGAGGCAGAACCTGAGTCAATGAGAATCAGTTTCTACACATGTGATACCCCTGCTCAAATTTTGGCTCTGTGGTTTTTTCCAAGTTTGTCTACTGATAAGATAGTCAAAGTGGTATGATGCATCTAGTCATAATTTGGCCCAACAGGTACACATAAGCATGTCTGTACTGCATCCTTTTACAATCTTGTACAGGTTTGATTAGTATTATTGATAATTAAACAATACAATGACTGTTCGTGTCCAAATTCCCAAGGATGTATTCAAAATAGGAATGGTTCCCACAAGAACGTGAAGATGTTTTCAAGCGTATGCCTTTGCTTTGAAGAAGAAGATGACAGATTCACAGATTTATTTGTAGCTTTACTGCAGTTCTTATCTTTTACAAAATAAAAAGTTGGCATGGTTTTGACAAGGGTGCTGCGTCTTGTGGTTTTGACAGATACGGTGGCAGAGAGAGAGGCGTTGATGGCCAGTGTCTATCCTCAGCTTTACCTCTACTGCAAGCAGCGGGGCTATGACTTCAAGATGATCGACCTGCGCTGGGGAGTGGAAGATGCCGTCAGCGACTCTCACAACACCGTGGCCCTGCACTTTGAAATGCTCAGGCAGTGCCAGGAGTCCGAAGGGCCACATTTTTTTGTGAGGAGAAATTCTCTTTCTTAGTTAATTCATATACTGTATCTCTCAATGACCAAGTACTCTGGCCAAGTTGTAATAGTGAAGCGTGTCCCTATTGCTTATGGTCATTTGAAATCACTGTTCACTTGAAATCAAAAAGAATGTTTTTGATCTAATATTATGAAATGGAAGCATGAAATTACCCAAACATAAATTATACAGGACATTTTGCTTAGCATTATTGATATCAATCTCACAATCACAAACAGAAATTGCTTGACTGAAAAGCTACTGTTACATTTCCCAAAACGTTTGGAGGGCTCTGGATGTATCAAGGAACTCAAATCAGTCTTATTGTTTTATACTGTCTGTGATGATTTGGCAATTCAGAAACAAAATTTTTAATAGCCGATACTACTGTAGAAGCTCAACATTAATACCTAACTCATGCTTTCCTCAAACAAATTTATCTTACTGTTTTGAAATCTTGTGTCAGGATCAGCGCTTTTCTATAATTTCTCTTATGTTTTCAAGTTATTCACAGGTCAGAAGCATGATGCGCAAATATTGCCTACCAGGATCTCCAAGACAGCCTTTGAAGCCGTTCTCAATGTTATCGAAAGAAAGAGGCTGGAGATGTCACGAAGGAGGCTCTCGAAAGAAGACAGGGAGCTGAGCTCTCGAACCAGTGTCCCACAAAGCAGTGTAGAAAGTCTTTCCACTGATACAGATCACACAAGGCAACAAGAAAACAACTCACAGCTTTTAGACAAGGACAGCCTTTCTCAGACTTCCTTGCCTAACCAGGACAAGTTAATCTTTTCTCAGATGGGAGCAAAATCTGTCTCTGATTTTGAAAAGGAAATAAGCCTCCTTCTTCACTGGTACAAGCTTGATGAGAACTGTAAACCTGCTATGTACTGTCTTCTGCCAGTCAGGTGAGCAACTGTCTGCTTTAAGTCTGAACTTACTCATCACAGCTCAAGACACATTTTTACATTTCTACACAGAACTGAGAGACGTTAAAGCTTCCAAGTAAAATGTTCCAAATTGTAATGATGCCAGCTGCTATTACAACTGTATTTAAGAAGCTCTCAACTGAGATCTGTGATCATTCACAGTCTTCAAAAAGCCAGTTAACCCCCCAGTATGTCTTTGCGCTGTGGGAGGAAACTGGAGCACCCAGGGAAAGCCCACTCAAACACAGAGAGAACATACAAACTCCACACAGACAGCACCCCAGGGCTGGCATTGACGCCAGGGCTCCCATGCTGACCACTATGGTCATTTGCAGATATCATGGAAATAGTGCTACAGGCAAGTCAGAAGTGCTAGTAAGTGGAGATGGGCATTTGCAGACTCATAAATCAATGCAGATTAAAAAAGAGACTGTAAATCCCATGGAATGACACAGTCTGCAAAGACGAGCAAAACATCATGCTCTCCAAGGGTTGCAGCTTTAAGAACACCATTGGCATAGTCTATTTCAAAATCTCATGTGGCTTGCATAACTGGTTTGAGGTTATTGACAAACGTCTGCTGCTAGTGTTATAGGATATCTCTTGCTCACGGAACATGGATGTTTTGCTTGGTTGCCATGAGTCCAAGTACAGTGAGATCTCCCAGAGTGAATAAGGGTTCAGACAGGTTAACGTGTATAAATTTACAACAATGGACCCTGAAGAGACTTTTGAAAGATTGATAGTGATTACAAGGCTGCTAATACACAACAAAATGTTACATGGAATTTGATACTGAGTGACAGTCTCTTTGAAAGTGCACAACTAAGTATAATAAAGTAGTTCAGGTGGGGAGCTGTGTCAGCAGGTGTAGGCTTTAAAGGAACAAGGAAAGGTTTATTCCCTGCTGAAAAGAAAAGAAAGAAAACACCACAGCCGAAACTTTGTGTTTTCTTTCTTCTCCATTCAGCATGGAATAAACCTATTACTTGTTACTTAACTGTGGCTTATGGATGTGGTGGTACTTCAGAAATGCAAACCATTCCGGTTATGCAGTTCTTTTTATGTTATCAAGGATTTTTAAAAAATCAAAGGTGCCTCTACATTTTTAGTGGGTAAAACATCTGATTTATTGAATACAGGTTGTTATTCTAAAGGTATTAAAGCCTATTAAAATATGTAAAAATTCATACCATGTTAATGTGGGTTGTGACTCACACTTATATTCATCATTGAGGCACATGCTAGAACAATTTCTGATTATTCAAAGAAATTCATTTGGAGATTTCTGCTGACTCACATTCACTGTATTCAGTTATGGAGTGAGGTGGACAGTATCAAATCTAGATCAATTTGTGCCTGTAAAGTCACTTAACAAAGGCATTGTGATCCCAAGTAATTTCAAAGTTTGGAAAGTGCAAAAGCAGAAGCTAATATGTGAAATTAATTAAAAATGACACAAGATTTTTTTTTCTGTGGGAGATGGTAATTGCAAGACTTTTAAGAGTTTTTCATCAGAAATAAATGCAAGTACGAATCTAAAAAATGTGAAAAACTCTATAGTAATAATATATAATAATAGTTCTAAAATCTGTTTCACTTTACTGTGCTGAATTTAGTTGAAAACCCTGTGTTTTAAAGACGTCTTCTTTGCGTGTCTTTATTGTGGACGCACAGCACTCACTACAAAGACTTTGTCAGTAAAGACCCATCGAGAAGACAGCAGGCGAAGAAGACTTGGCTGCACACGTCTCAGAAGCTCTGCAAGGCCCTCCAGGAGAACAGCCCTGCATCTGGGGGAGAGAGCAGCACCTCCTCTCTCCTGAGGACAGGTCAGGGCCCAAAGTATTTGAAGATTCGCTCAAGTTTTCCAGAGCAGTAATTGGAGTTACTTTATGGAGTTTACAAGGACGGTTCAATTTCATCTCGGGTCCCTAACTCATAATCATTCCTGAAGCGGTCACCTAATTTAAAAACAAAACTATAAATATCCGTCCTCCACCTCTGCAGCTACCTACACTCCCTTGGCCAGGTTGAGCCAGATCTTGAAACACTTTCAGTACATCTAGTTCTGCTGCGTTGTCATCCCCAGTCCCGATTCCTGAGATCCATTTCTGTTTCTGTTTCTTTCTCAGTTGTGGACGTTGAAGTTGCACAGGGGCTTCAAACAGCTGGTCCCCCTGAAGAACACTGCCACTGGTATAAGAGAACCATAACGGACATCAAGTACAACCTGGGAAGTGAGAAGGCATCGGACTACATCGATATCTTAACAAGCCAACCAGAAATAAATGAAACTCTGTATGCGGCCCACCAGAAATTTATGGACAGCATACATGCAAAGGTCAGATTTTTCTCTTTCCTTCGACTCTCTCAGACCTCCTGTTCTGCTGATTTTTAATCAGCACATTAATGCAAGGTGTTTGTGAGCGACGGTGGTCGGTGAAGAAGAGGAGAAGAGAGATTAATGGGGGCGCAGACGCAATGTGCTTAACACCTGTCTTCTCCAGACTAACTGTACCATTAAGAAGGGAGCAACTTTGGAACCAGTAAACAGTCAGTCACTTCTGTTCAACAGTGGCGGTGAGCTGGTGCCAGTAATAAGGGAGATTTATATACACTGCAGATATAGCCAGAGGGAGATGTGGAGGTAGAGGAATGAGATCTGAAATGCACCAAGCAACAGAGCACACATATAATGTTCCATCAGCTTCTCTGACAACTACAGCAACTGTAAACTAATCCACTGTAGATCCAAGATTGGCATCTGGTTCTTACACAATCTGTCATTTTTCTGCTACAGATTTAATACTGCAGTTGTTGTGTACTGTAAGGGTGCATATCAATGAATAGGGCTGATAAAAAACCACATTGCATCTGTAGGACAGTTATCCCATTGGTTTTCCAAACTCGGCTCAGTTTCCAAACACAGTATGTTCAGCTGAATGAAAAAACAATTGCACTGTGCGTCTTTCTTCTTTGACAACAGCTACGTCATACGAACATCTACGAGTACAGTGTTGGCTGGGGCCGAGCTGGGATCAGCCCCCAGCTCAACAGGTCCCACCTCTACTACACCCAGAGCATCTGCAGCCACTTCCAGAGAACTGTCCTTGCTCACCTGAACAGGTAAAGCAAATTTCGTTTCGTCACAGTGTGTCTGAGGACCTCCCCAGGGCTGAAGGTGAAGCATTCTTAGACAGCTCTTCTGATTTTAACTTCAGTTTTGTGATTTTAAGGTTCGTAACAGCAGGGATATATGTACATTATCCACAATCCCGATTGGAGAGCTGATTTTCAGTTGTAGCTGACCTCTGTTGCTGTACCTATGAAGGTCGGTCCATTCATTGTGGAAGAGATTTCTAAAACAAAGAATGTCTACTACAGCCTTGACAACAGCTGCTGAGAAGGCAACTTGTTGTTGTGTGCTTGGCCACTTTGTTTGCTCATACCTGATGTATGCCTGCAGGGTCCTGCATACATGATACCTTTTCTTTTTAGAGATCACGTTACTCTTTCTCACCCCCCTTAAGAAACAGAGTTTGCGCTTGGTGCTTTCATAAAAAAAGAGAAGGATAATTGTTTCACCACTGGAGTAAACCTTTCAGATACCCTTATTACTTAGGCCGTGTTCCTTAATCGAGTCTGGTGTAAAAGACAACGTGCCAAAATTTTAATCAGACAGAGTAATAAGTGTCTCTGACTTTCAGTCTAAACACATGTAAGGCACAGCTTTAATGTAATGTGTAATGTTCCTCCTGTAATCAGTCAGTCATCTTACTCAGGAGAAAGTATCAGCAGACCAGATGATTAATGCTTAACCTTCAAATACCACATAGACAAAATCTGGTCCAAATCATTAACTTTTATCATGTACATTGGTTTTGGACATCTAAGTCTTAATTAATTGTATTGTATGCTCTTTAATGTGCACTTCAAACCCTGGTTTGATTTATTTTAAAAATCATTTCACTTCGAGTGTGATCTTTTTAAATTCTTTCAGGCTTATAAGGTCTAAGACATCCAGGGAATCCCCTGATGTCAGGAGAGGAGAAATGTTTAGAAGACAGACTGAGGAAGAAATTCTACTGCATATTCACCACAGACATGCTCTGTGAGTTCCAACAATCTTTTATTCTTGCTGTTCTGATCCGATTTGTAAACCGCAGTATTGAATTATTGCCAATGGGAGATATGTAATACACCTCAATGCAGTATATTATCCAGTATATAAATGCACTTATGCACATTTCAAGCAATTAATAACAAATTTGCAATATTAACTTTAAGGGTATCTATTTATGCAGCAGGTATTTACTAGGGCAGTCTGAATGAAGAGCAATATGTCAAGTATTCAATGTATGCCTGTCCAACTGGAATACACAAACTCTGGTCCAGAGTCCTTACCGCTGCTCCACACTGCTGCCTTATATGTTAGGAGACATTCATAATGTTAGACCTGCCCCAGTGATTCAAAAATCTCTTGCTTTCCCTGTCTTACTTCTAATTAACTGCATAACTGAAATAATCCTAACCAGACAATTGTACCTTCAAACAATGTTTCACAATGTGAATGTTTTGAGTAATCAACTGTAAAAGGCCTTAGGAAAACACCAGGCTAATTAAGAAGATAATTAGGTTAATTGTTTAATTGGCTGAAGTTGGAAAACACCAATGGGCACAAGGTAACACTTTAGGAAGGCTGTGAGGAGCACCGGTATTCAGAGACTGGTGAGTCCCATTGCTACAGTAAGTGTTCCTGCAGGCCCCATTTGTATGTGAACCAGCTGGTCCACGCAGCATCATCACACTGCAGCGAATAGGCCAGCTTAGCTTTCTAAGCATCCTGTAGATACTGATACAACCTGAAGCAAGCAGGTTGCTCGTTTTGCAGTTAACCTGTTCTGCTGCATTTATCCCCTTTCTTGTCCAGAGACGGACGTTGCGCGCCAGGGGAGTCCGTTCTGGTGGGGTTGAGAGAGGTGGTGCAGAGTGCCAGCTGGGAGCCGGTGGTCCTGCTGGGGGATCCAGGATCTGGGAAAAGCACGATCATGGCCAGAGTGGCCTCTCTGGCCTCCAGCTGGGTGCCAGGGTGGGTGTCCAGTCTTCTCTCTTGAATGTTTGCCTTCCCAGTTGGTGAAATTAGAAAGGTAGACTGTATGGCTTAAGGGGTGCTTGCTGTTGTCCTGTATTAAAAGCTTGTTTTTCCACCAGAGTAGACAGACAGATTCAGGATATAGATCATCCAAGCACGGACCCAAAATATCCGGAAAATTCAGACCATTAAGTTTTTTTGAGCTAACTAGAGCAGAATCCTATCACCAAAGCTTCATGTTTTGTTTTCCATTTTCTTCAGCCTTAAAAATACAAGTTTTCTTAATGCTGCAATTTGGAATTTCTCATTGTTAATGAACTCAACTCACTGCTACAGAACGTGTGCAGAGTGGATGTGAAGGCAACATCAAAACTTCCTCTACAGCCTGTCTCTGGCTACACACTCCTGATTATTTGCACCTGTAAACCCACATTTAATTCACATGGAGATGTTAATCCATGGGCAAATGAATCCAGACAGATCATGAACTTCAGACTTAGATGGCAGGGTTAGGGTTAGTGACCTGCTGTACAGTAACCTAAGATGTCTCTTGTTCACTTGGGCCTCACATGTTCATCGTGATTATATGCATACCACTCCATGGGGAATCCTGGTTATATTTAGTAAATATATGCAGTATAGGTACTGTATGTAAAGAGGCATAAGGTAAAATAGTACAGTGTGCTAGCCAGCCTTCGCAGTAGTGAGAACATCTCACTACTGAATATTTAGCATGTAGTATATTGTCTACAACTGTGATCACCATGTTGCAAAAAAGGTATTGGCATTTTAGAATCATTCCTTAGAAAAGCAACTAGGTACTGTACATTCCTGAAGGAATGTCCTTTGCTGACAAGGTAGAACTGAATCTTTTGAGTCTTGAATAGCTTGAAAAGGGCACCCAATAAAAAATAATTCAGAATCCTCAAGGACTCTTACAACGTCAACCAGTTGGATTCTTCTGAGTCAAGAGTTAAACACAAATCAGATGACACTAGTGAACACTACTGAGATGTGCATTAAAAGTCAAAACGGGAGACAGAAAGGGTAATGAGAGTCTGTAACAAGCTACCCAGCCAGGTTGTTGAAACCGATCTCATCACTTCTTTCAGGAAACAGCTGGATGAGATCTACAAGTCAATTAGCTACTAGTAATCAACTAGATCTAGACTGGCTTTCTCTCGTTTATAACCTTAGTTAGCTCTTACGCATAGATTCACCCTGAAAATATCTTGTCCCCCATTGAAAGAAAGTGCTGTCTATTAACTGTGAGTTCTTTTTTACAGAAATGTGAGGGTTCTTGTCCGTTTCATTGGAGTCACTGGAGAGAGCAGAAATGTGCGTTTGTTGCTTCAGAGCCTGTGTTTCCAGCTATGTGAGGTGCACAATGTGCCCGCCAGTTTCTCCCAGGTATTGTCTCACTTATTTAACACTGAATTCCCTGACCGCCTCCTCAGTGTGTCTGTAAATGGTACTGGTTTGTACACCTCTTTTCTTTCAGAGTTTGGAGGAGCTCTCGAACAAGTTTCTGTCCCTGCTTGAGCCTGTGACCCAAGACAGCCCTGTCGTGATTGTTCTGGATGGACTTGATGAGCTCTCTGAGGAGCACAACTCGGACATCTCCTGGCTCCCAGCTTGCCTTCCAGAGCATGTGTATCTCATATTATCCGCATCAACAGAGTCCAGCTGTGCAGAACTACTGAAGGTGTGTAGAACCAGGTGTACTGTAGTTCCACAGCTACCTTAACTGGGGCTATTTTAAATAGGGCTTTTTAACAAGGGCTATTTACTACTCAACACAGAACAAGAAAATGCAACAAATTGAATAATGAAATGAAAAATCATTACATGGAATAGGATGAAATTGAAAAATAGATACTATTTATTTTTAGTAAATAACAAATAATATTTGGTCTTAAAAATCCTTAAACCCATATTAAACAAAAGGATTTTGAGAATTAACTTGGTTGATATGCCATTTATCCATATAAATTATATGCATTATTTTTTCATAGGACATGGATCATACTTATAGTAAATAGGGAGTGTTTTAGAAATAATGGGTACCTAAAAAGATAAGGCTTCCTTCACATCTCTTTAATATGCTTTTTGTGAATAATCTCACCTCTCAATGTCCGAACTGAGCAATGTTTGATATTACATTATGTACATGGTTAAAACAGGCTTCATTTTTGTTTGGTTATTTATGTAACATCCTTGTTTTAGTGTATAAAATTAAGTGACATTCATGAACACTGAAAACTGAAATTAAAATCTATTGGCAATAAAAAGAACTGGGGGGGGAGCTGTAGAAATGACCTGTGTGAGCTACATTTTTTAGGCTCTACAAAGACAGCGCCTCCCCTTCATTTTGTTTTTAAACAGTAATCGTCTTGTTTCCCAGAGGCAGGCCACAAAGCCGCACTTCCTGGTTGTGAGCCCTCTAAGCCAAGCAGACATCCACCGGACGCTCCTTAGGAAGCTGGAGAGGGACGGCCGAAGTGTCCGAGCTGACCAGTGGAAGCTCCTAACGGAGGCCTGCGAGTCCTGCCCCTGCCCCCTGTATCTTGAGATCGCCTACGCGGAGAGCCGGCTGTGGACCTCCTTCGCCGCGCCGTCGGGCACGCGTCTGCCGGGGGACCTCCCCGGGCTGTACCAGGCCGTCTTAGCCAGGCTGGAGAAGGCCCACGGCGAGCAGCTTGTGAGGAAGTCCGCGTCTCTCGTCACGCTGTCCCGGAACGGGCTCCCGGAGGAGGAGCTGATAGACCTGCTGTCCCTGGACCAGGCAGCCATGCGGGAGGTGGAGCTGTCCCACAGGCCCTCTGCTCCCAGGCTGCCTTATGTCCTGTGGGCGAAGCTGAGGCTGGACTTCGGGAGTCACCTGACGGAGCAGAACACAGACAACACGTACGTGCTCAACTGGGCACACTCCGCCCTGAGGCAAGCATGCGAGCAGAGATACCTGAAATCCAAGGAAGTCCGGCTCTCCATTCATGCTGAGTACGCGAACTATTTCTTAGGGAAGAAATCGCCCCATCCTGGCAACAGTGCAACCACACATGTCTTCCAGCCTCTGGCGTGGGTGCTGGAAAAAGACTCGGTAAAGAACTACTTCTTCAACCTCCGGAAACTTCATGGAGTGCCGTACCACCTAATTAAGTCTGGGCAGGTCCCAACGCTGTTGACCGAGTGCCTATTCAACTATGAATTTCTGCTGCACAAACTGTGGGGCTTGTCCATTATTGATGTCGAAGAGGATCTGAAGGCAGCCGTTACTCCAGAGAAGTATGCATACTGAATATGTTTTCCCATACTTTTAGTATACTGTACTACTATACAGTTGCAGTACACTGGGATCCAGTATGATAATCGTTGTGCAGAGAACCTATTGTGCCCCTGTTGCTTTTAAATCTTGGCTCTACATTTTTATTTTTTTACAGATTAAATTGTCTGTTCAGTAGTCTATAGCTGAATACATGCAGCTTTTTATAAACCAGAAACCATAAAACAGCAGGTCACAAACAGAAACGAAATAAGCTCCTTAAGATAGACTGAACTTCACAATAGTGTTCATAGTAGTGTTTTAAATATTTCTCTGGTGACTGCCTTAACCTTTTCTCCATAGCGAAGCTTTTCATGAATAAGATGTGTTCTTTGAACACAACTTTAGTAATGGTTGGAGGAGTTAAGAGTGGATAACGATACATGAGCTCAATTGGTTTTCATGAGAGATTCGTATGACTTACAGGACATCAGAAAAGAGGAGCTGGATTTGATTCCACCATGGAGCCACCTCCTGGTCCGTGTTGAGTGTTCTCCCTGTGTTTGTGCTGGCTACTCTAAAACTGGATACTGAGAACAGTATCTGAGTACATGTTTCTAGACAAAAAAGACTTATGAGCATGATGGCCTTTCATTTTTGCCGTGCATGCAGAATGCGTGGTGTGACTGCGTAGTTTCCTGCCTGAGCTGTCGTGTTGTATCAGGGAACTGGCCGACGTGTGTGTGCTGAGCGAGGCTCTGGAGCTGTCCCAGCAGACCCTGCTTCAGGACCCGTGCCAGCTGGCCTCCCAGCTTGTGGGGCGTCTGCATGAGGTCCTCTCCACTGACCGCCCAGTGGCGCCCGGTACTCCGTCGCTTCGGAAGAATGTTTGTCTACCTCCCCGATATTCACTCCTGGTCCTGGAGGGCGGCTGGGTTTTCTGCTTTTCGTTCCCCCCTGGACTTCATGAACTTACTGAGTCACCTGTTCTGGTAGATGGTCAATGTTACCACTGTCTCCAGGTCTTGACTCATTGAGTGTCCTGCAAAACCTTGGTGGACAGTTGCCTTCTAGGTCCACGAGTGAATATCACTGATCTGTATTGACTCTGGTCCTAAAAAGGTTTTCTCTTCAAATGATAAATTTATTTATAGATTTCACTACAAAAAAAACAATGTGTGACCTGCCTTTTAAAGTATTTAATACTCTTTTCACAAAATGTAGTCTTTTGACCTTTTTTGCATGTAATATTAGGAGCTCTAAAAAAATCATAACCTTTTCTTATGTTTAATTTATTTAAAAAGTGTCTTTACTCATATTTCAGTAAACACCTAACTGCTGCAATCACAGTTTACTAATATCACAGGTTCAAATGCGTTAAGGGCTGTGTAGACTTGCAGTTCTAGGCTGTTTTTTTAAGTGGGCGGTCTGGTTTGAATGCCCCCAGGTGATCCCAGGAAGTTCTCGCACCTTCACTCCCTGCTGTCCCAGTGCTATAGCTCCTCAGTGCCTGTCCTCCTGCCCTCGTTCACCTGCCTCCTGCCCCCAGGAGGACTGGGCCACCGCCTGCTGGCAGGTAGGGGAACTGCAGCTCACAGCGCCGGCCGGACGCTTCAGGAGTACCAGCCACAGTTAATAGAGGGTGGGGGTTAATATGCCTTTTCTCTTACAACATCTGTTTAGGAATTCCTCAGGGATGAGTTAGGTGTCCCATGTGTATGTGACCTGCTGTCTATATTCTAGATCACCAACAACAGCAATAAAAGCCCAAGAGTATCACCATTTCGAAATACATGTCAGAAACAGAAATTTAGTTACAACTAACAGGAATTCATTTACTAAGGAAAGAGCAGATGTCTGTCTGCGTGATGTCTGTGGAACCAAACTGAGTTCAAACACTTCACTGAACCTTCAAAACGATGGCTCTCAGGTGTTTTTAAAGTACACTGAACTCCTGGATTCAACCGAAGCAGATGTACATTAGGACTTAGCATGTCGTTTAAAACCACAATGCACAGTAATAATCAATTTGAGAAGGTGTGGACAGTCACAGCCTTCACATGATTCATGTTCAGTTATGAATTCTTCTGATGTGTGTTTGATGTGCAGTTTCCTGACTTTGTTTCAAAATTGCTAGGAGATCCTAATTTCCTTCAAGCTTCAAACAGCAGCAGTTTCTCAGGGGAAGTGCTGTCAGCTCCACTCCCTGTTTTTCCTTCACAGCCACTAGAAAAGCTCTTTTGTCTGTGCTGCATAGATACTGTAGGAATAGAAACACCTGGAAGAGCTGCTTCAGAAAATGCCGTATTTACTAAAGTTGTCTTTATAAAGAATATTAAAGTCACCCTGAGTTGCAGCAGTGTGCTACGCTTTTCATGTTCTTCTGCATTCTGGCTAAAAACATGAACTAAACTGTTGTTAAGTAAACTGAAGACACGGTATTAGGGCACCTCCTTTGCAACAATTCACAACATTTGCCTTGATCGTCTGTGCTCTGTGCCGAAAAGAAAATGCTGCGTGTCGCCCATCCTCACCATTCGTTAGCAACAACGAATGCACTTCTGAAGTCACCTTGGAGCACAATTTCAATAAATCCATCTGAACAGCATGTCTTCAAGGGAGTGTGGGAGGATAATGAGAAACAGGAACAAGAGTTGTTAGGTGCATGTTCAAAGACGTCTTTTAATTATGGTGCTGCTGGGGAAATTAAAAAAATGTTGAGCCTGACTGAGGACCTTGATACTGCTGTACCTGCTCCTCTGGCTGACTTCCAGACCTGTCTTGGGCTGGGATCTGGCTTTGCCCAGTTGTGAATATCATTATATTATTGGTTTACTGTAGATTTAAGAAATTCATTAGACTGCTGACTATAATAGCTAATTAAAGTTAACCAGTGTGCATCTTATGTGACTCACTTCACAAAGAACGTCATGGAGTTCACAAAACACATACTTTTAGTGATTTATTAGCGCAATAAATAAATACATTATCACTTCATTTAAATGTCTCTATCCCAGGCAACGTCCATTCAAAGAAAGCAATGAACTATAAAAACATAACAGTGAGAAAATTCGTGACACAGACGAGAGTGGTACAAAGTAATCATTTATTACCATTATTCAATATTTTCCCTCGGTGCACCTTGCGCAAACTGTGGCCTCGGTGCTGTATTCTTTGAGCTTGAAAGGGAAAACGCGGTTAGTGTAAAGAGCGATAAACAACAGACGTGACTGCACTCTTGAGTGTGCTTCCAGGGCAGCAGTGTTCACCACTGGCTGGTCTGTCCCGCTGGCAGGCCACGCCGGCGGGATCACTGCAGTCGCCGGAGCAAAGGAGGAGCCTGTGGTCGCCACAGCTTCCCGAGACCGGACGCTGAAGATATGGGACCTGAACTCCGGCCGAGCAGTGAGAACCGTCCGGGGCGTCGGGAGCGGCGTCGACTCCCTCACTCTGTGCCTGGGCAACACTCTGGTGGCACTGACGGAGAGGAGGACCCTGCAGGTGTGGCACATCGCTTCCGGGCAGATGGTCTTCTCGGAGAACTCCCTTGACGTCCCAGTGGCCACGTCTGCTTCCGACGGGCAGCTGCTCGTGGTGTTCTATGACGGAAGTCAGTCCCTGAAGGTGAGCACTGGTGTGTGTGTGTGTTCCTGTCTGAACCTCTTGGCCAGTCCCATCACAGGGTGGATCCGGCAAACACCTGCACCTGTTGTTCGCGTGACAGTCCCGTTGCTTTCGAATTACCCTCTGCAAAGGCTCCCCGCTGCTGGTTTCAGAATGCAGAGAATAACTGGCAAATCTTCTACACAAGAGGAGCTGATGTGCTGGGACCTGGCACTGTTGTGTCAGCTCAGGTTTGCCATTTTGTCCAGCTGACCTCTCGGCTATAAGCAACACCTTTGAGTTTCTCCTGTAGCTTTTCTGACAGAGTGATTGAATGATGCTGCTAACATGAACAGGCCACCTGTACAGAAGATATTCAAAGAGTGAGCCTAATAAGATGTACAGTTATTTCAAGCTTATTATTTACAAAATTCAATTCATTACAAAATTCTATAATTTCCTTACAAAAGAAACATGCAAAAAATGTTTATTGCCATGTACACTACTTTCATAAATAAAAAAACAATACTTTTTTTTCTCCATTTTGTCCTTTGAATTGCAGGTATTAAAAGTAACAACAATTGAAGACAGAAGAGTGTGAGAAGAACTCTCTATGATGCTTTACCAGTTGCTTTTTTCCCTTGTTCTCCAGATGGTGACAATAAACAGCCCCTGTCTCTTGTAGGTGTTTGATCTGGCAGCCTCCTGCAGATTGCTCTATGATGTGACCATCACTCCCGATGACAACCCTATTCACAAAGACCGCTCCATCCTGGTTTCTCGCGGCTCTGTGAAAGATTATGTCCTGTTTGCCTATAGGTCAGTATCAAAATTAAACATGGGAGCGTGTCTTATCACAAATATTAAGCCTAATATTTTTCTTTGATCTTTTTTTCTTAAGATTGGAATGTGTTGTTTAGAATTTCATTCATTTGAAACTTAAACAATTGCAATAATAACCCCTTGACAGAATATCAGGATAGTTATTGTAGCCCTTTACAGAGTTTCATACACTTAGTGTGACAAGTGTTTATTTCACTAACATGACTTGCAAATGAACACTAGTTTAAAATTCATATGAGAGCAAAGTTAATTATAAAATGGAAATGTTTCTGTATCCTTCTTGTCTGAAATATTAAGCTAGGAAAATAAAAATGATCTCATTTAACATTATTTTGTATTGTTCTATCTATTCTCTGAAGGAAATAATCTATAATTGTGGGGTATATTTGCTTGCTTGCTGTTAAGTAAACTAGAAAATTACTCTTAGTCATTCAGTATATCCAACACTCAGTTACAGTGTTGTTTTAGATTTTTGCTACATAAACAGCATACAGTAAGTCATACTGCTACCCTTAATAAAGTCTGCAATTTTGAACAATATTTGAGACGTATCATAGATAAACTTCCAGAAGCCAATATTTTTGGGCAGTTTTATCTGCATTTACATGAAGTTAGTTCAAAGATTTTATGTATATACAGTGTTATTAAATAACGTACAAATTCAGGAACAGCGTTAGTTCTCCATTTTGTAAACAACTTGTCAAACCAGGTAAACACAATTCCAAGACATACAGTATTACATACAGCAGCTGAAAAGAGTTCCTTAATTGTTAATGTAGGATAGTTCTGAGATGCCAAAAGGTGTAATTCAATATTAAAGATACTCTTTTTGCTTGGGCGATGTTTCTATTTAGTAACAGACGGGTATTTGAATTTATGCTCCTGAACTGATGTAGCAATAAGAGACACATTTTATCTTTTGTCTTCAACTATCAGCTTTCAGCACTTTATATGATTAAAGTGACGGATCACATCCTCCAGTGGTAACTGAAACTGTACCTGGCTGATAAGTTATTTTAAAATTAAAAGTGTCTTCTCTCTCTCAGAGGCAGCAGTGTGTCACACACATGCTATTCAATTGCTATAAGGAAAGCAAAACCTAGAAGGATGTTTCTCCTTCTTCCATGTGTGACATACCTGTAGAAAAAACTAAACAGTTGTCTTTTTCTAGCACATCATTTTTTAAAAGGAGGAATGCACATTACAAAAATTAGGGTAAAAGCATGGAATTGTCCAATTCATTAAATGAAAAAAGAAGGTTTAGAACTGAGTTGCTAAGGAGAAACGGGGAAAATTAGGTGTTACCACTGAGTGTTCATGTGCCGTATGCAGATGTAAATGTATTTTTTTTATTATTTAAATTTAAAGTACTCTTCCATTCACTGCCTGGGACTGTTAACCCTGCAGTGAAAGACTTTATAAGAGCAATGCTTTTTTAAGCTTTGTATACAAAAACAAAAGCCAGAGCAGTGTAAATATTGATGTTTCTGTATCTATACACTGTGCTCCTTAAATGTACTGTATAGACTCTTAAACTCCGAAGGCAGGTGAAATGGTGGAGCATCTTCCTTCTTCTATTCAAGCTCTGCTGCCGGTTAGAAAAGAGTTAAAAGAGAAGCCCTAGGCTGCCGCTATGGTGAGCAGGGAAAACGAGGCACCCTGCTCTCTGTTAAACCATTTACACACAGCCTCCACCATTTTCGCCTTGTCAGATGCTGTAACAGCTGATATACGGCGGGCCGCTTTTAATAGGAGTCTCTTTCAAGTGCGGAGAGGTGTTCTCTGACAGGCTCTCTTCATGGCTTTGTCGTCTAGGAGTGCCAAGGGGGCCATGGTGCTCAGCGCCAGGAAGGCAGAGGTCGTGACAAAGCTGGTTGCCCAGCAGACAGCGGCCTCTGTCCAAGGAGTCGAAGTGACTGCAGACTACTTCCTGCTCTTTTGCAGGTAAAGTTTCCCAGTATTTGCCACCTTCTGAAACCAACACTTTTTTTTCTGGTCTCTCTACTTGTTATTTTAAAGGGTTAGCAATTACGCCTTTATGCATTTGACTTGGAGTCAGGAAAAGAGACTTCTTCATCAATTGTTCAATTGATTTCGTGATGGTAGGAAAAAAGATGTACACCAAAACACTTTACATTTTAGGCATCATTGATTTTCATCACAATGAAATTCAGTTTGAGAAGGGTTTTGAGGTATTTCCTCTATTATGTAAGATGAGATAAGATCACTTTAGTGGCCATATACAATTTCTTGCATTAGGAATTTGTCTTTTTGCATACCCCAGCTTTCTCTCCATGAGACACACAGGCACACAGACGGGGATGTAGCTTTGACGCTTTTAATTTCTTTGTGGCATTCGTTTTTTCACTTTTGTCTTGCTGACAAAACTGAAAGGAGTTACTCTGGTGTATTGTTTCATAATAAGAAAGTCATCTTGTCCAGCCCCTCACACTGCTCATTTGCTTTGAGGTAATACGATTCCATGAGATAAGGTTCAGAAGAGATGCTATGACAACACGCAACTTCATACTGATCTATACACGTTATTATTTAGATTAAGCCGCACAGCCTTCTTTTTAACATACCTTTAAAACAATCTATATTGTCTTTGGGAGGTAAGATCTGTAATTCAAGTACAACGTGCCAGTGGAACATTAACTTTCACTTTTAAGACAATGAAGTGATCCTTTTTCAGGTACCCGTACCTGAGGCAGAATGAAATCGTACACATCGAGCTGTTCAGCACCAAGAGTTTTGCATATCTGCGCTCCATCAAGGGGTGCAGTAGCGACCCTTTCTCTGACCTCAATGTGAACAGACTTGGCTCCCACGTTGTGGCGTTCTGCCCTTCAGCCGCTACTGGGACCAGCGAGATTGTCACCTGGAACCTGGAGACAGAGGACCACAAGCACATGGTGAAATCTCCTGGCTTGGTTATGGCAGGTCAGTGTATCAGGCAGTGTGCAAAGTTAAATGCGTGTGCATATTTCAGCTTAAGGGGCTACTGAACACAGTATTACAAACTTGGATTATCAATGGATAATCAATGGACATTGGAATATCAAAGACACCAACCACTCCCTTTCCTCATTAGTAAAATAATCCTGGTTGTTTTTTTCCAAAATAATGCCCCCTATTTTTCGTGATCATAGGCAATGCATGATCAACTGTTTAGATTTTGACTTGATCACACAACTTCCTATGTGATTTTTGTTTTGAAACTGTCCAAATCAAAAGGTTGCACTTGCAGGAAATAGTCTGTAAAGGAATGGGACAGAGGATCTGAGAAGTTTAATGGGAAAGTATAGATAAGTAAATAGTAGAGAATGGATGACAACAGCTTAAAGATATTCTGCCTGAAGCACAGTTACGATTCATACCAAGAATAAACAAATCAAAGGCTGGAAACTAGTGTCCTGTGTGCTTTAGTCAATTAATGAATACAATTTTAAGGAGAAAGAAAGCACTTTATAAAGCTATATAATCACAGCAACCACATACTGTACATTCTGGGGCTTCTAGGAAACTTAAGACTAGGATGGCGGCCTCTTACTATAGCATTTGCATATTCTTAATGGCTTGATTGCTTACGGCAATGCACCGATGCCTCAGACGTGTTAAACTGAACTTCTGCTTTTTGACTTGAAGGTACTTGCTCTGACCTTCGGTTCTGTCTGGGAGTGTGCAGCAACGAAAGCTACATCCGAGTGTGGAATTTAGCCTCTAGAATCAACGATCAGTCTCTCTGCTACAATGTGTACAAAGTGAAAAGTGATGGGGCCGAGGATGTTGTTCCCATGAAGAAATATCCCCGGTGAGCCTTAAAGTCTGTTGAATTAAAAGAGAGAGGGAGAAGGATAAACATGAAGAGGCAGGAGATGCAGAAGGTGTTTTCAGTCTCTTCTTCTCTACTTGTCTTACAAGCAGATGTCAAGTCACTGCACACGAGCTGTGCTATGTGGGCCTAATGCCAACATAAGGAATATTATGTTCAAAACTGAAAGTTTAATGGGAAATTAAGAATGAAAGAAGGCAAATTGTGAAGTTAAAAAGAACCCTTATTATTCCTCTTACACATATTGCAGTCTTTGCTGCATGCAACATGTTGTATTCATTTTGTACGACGCGTGCGTTGGTCCATGCGTGTCTGACAAATAAGTAAAAAGACACATTTCTTTGACAGGTACGTTGTGTGGAGAAGCGTGACGCCTGGCACGGTGAGCGTGTGGAAGCTGGCGGAGTCGGGCTGCCGGGTCAAGCGGTTGAGCTTGGAGCGCGGGCTGTACGAAAGCGCCGACATCGCCCTGGTCAGGGACAGGAGGCTGTTCATCCTCACGGACAGGGGCACGGCCAGCTTCACAGACACCCCAAGGCCCATCTTTCAGGTACGCGCCGCCGCTGACAGCACGGGCCCGCTCCTCGCTCATTCCACATCGCACGGGAGCTTTTCAGAAACTGAGGTGTCAGACGCCCCCAAGAATACCTCAGAGAGGAGCACATTGAATTTGCACCGAAGTGTTGAGCTGATAATAGGTCTTCAACTAGGACATCATTCGAGGTAATAACGGCTGTGCTTTTATTTAAGTGCATGTACCTTAAACACCGCGCACTTTGCTTTGTGTTTCATTAGACACTCTTGATCTATGACCTGCTAAAGAAGAAGTACATTAAAAAGCAGACTGGTCTGTACATCATCCCCTGTCAAAAGCATGAATACAGGATTTTAGATGGAGACCTACTGCTGGGACTTTCTGAGAACAGGTGAGGATGCTTTTACTTGTAATGAATACTTGAGGGAAAAAAATATAAGTAAGATGAAACTCAAAAGGGCTGGAGCCTTCAGGTCAGAGATCCTGACCCTTCATCGTGTTAGCAGTTGTGCTGGACATGCACCAGTTACAATAATAATGTTGTTATTATGAAAAATAATAGACTACTATAAAGATAATGGTCTTTGCTCTATTTTATCATCTCTTTTACTAAACGTCAGGAACATTTTTGTAGGTTTTTGTCAACTGCCATTTCTAGGAAGTGTTCAGGATCACAACAGCTGACCCTGTTGTTTCTTTGTCCTCTGTTGGAAAATTTGGGATAATTTTTTTGTCTAGGAACTTCAGATTTTGAGAATATTAATAGAATAACATGACAAACTGTCAGTTAAGAGACCTAGACTTCAGAATTATAAAAGAGCATTCCTTCATTGCAAATAAGGTTAATACAAGGGAGGCTCTTACTGTACTTTTGATACTGCTGTAAAGGTGTTAACATATAAAATGTGTAAATATATACAGCATTATTTTTATTTACTTATACAGTAAGAAGTGCATAATCTGTAACAGTGAAACTGGAAATTATGTTCCATAAAATATAAACAAAAATGTCTGAAACTGAAAAATTAGTGATCAAAGCATCAGAACTAAAAATGCTGATCTGTGTGGGTAAAGCCTACATTTTGAACTTTAAAATCATTAAGAGAGAAAAATGTATTCAAAGTCATTATCATTTTTCCTTTTAAAGCAGCAGTAGGTTTTATAGTCCTGTAGTTTTACTTTTGTTTAAAGTCTTTATAAAGGGTCATCTTTTAGCCCACTGAACATTCAGATGCTGATGGAAACAATCATCAATTTTAATTGCAGAGACCATCTGATCATCTGGGACCTTGAAACAGGATTTATCAAAAGCCGTTTAAAACCATTTCACAAGGAGCAGTCACTTGTCTCCTATGCAGCAAACACTGTGTTCGGCTCTCAGGAGAGAGACAGCGAAGAGCTCCTGTCCAAAGTGAAGAGAACAAAAGGTTCTTAAGGCGTCGAACTCTGCTGAGTCATGGGTCTCAGCACACCGATGGGGGCTAGCTGCCAGCAACAATTGTGTTTAGAAGGAATAAGGGTTCATTTGCTCTTGTACGATGTTCATTAACACCTGCCTTTCCACGTTTTCACACCTAAGTGCATGAAGTAAAAAAGATAGAAATGCATTTGCCTGATGGTTTTGTCCCGGTCAACTTAAATATCTACATATTTATACAGCAGGGGATTTAGCTAAAGCCACCTGAGTGATATACCTTGCACTTGGCTATAACAGCTGTGCCCCACAACCTTGGATTTGAACCCACAACCTTCCCCTGACAAGTCCAGTACCCCGGGCACTACTCCACACTACTGCCTGGTCCCACCTTTCTCCTCTACTGTACCTAGGAGAGGGAACTGTAGACATCCGGACATCTGTGCTTGGAGCAGGTTAGGAGGTGTGAAGACCGGAGCAGACTTAAAGAAAACAGAATCCATAGCGTTTCTATAGCAGAACTGCAGTAGAGATTGTTTAATTTAGAGCTGGCCTGTGCCATTGTTGAAGGTCATTCAGAGGCAGCTGTCAGAGACGCGTTTCTGTACACACGCAGTGTTATTGTGCATCTGATGTCGCAAATACACAGCTGTTGGCGGCTCTTCAGCTGCTGCGCTTTTCTTTGGCTCGGGTGACTCATTCTCTTGTGCTGTTTCCAGCCCGCATGACTCCCTGGGAACGTCGGAACGAGACCCAAACAGCGAAGCAGAGGAGGCTGGAGAAGGAGCTGGAAAGGGAAAGAGGAGAGCTCCAGCAGCTCTCCAATGAGAAGCACAATGCCATTGATCTGTACCTCCTCAGCGGGGACGAGCAGGTAGGCGGCGAGGGAGGGGCTGCTGTGAAGTTCTGGCGCATCGTGAGAGACCACAAGGACACCCACAGCAGCCACGGCATCAATAATGCAGCACACTAGCGTCTCTTGAGGGATGACGCCGTTCTTGCTTCTTATTTTAGTATTGATTTCCTTCTTGAAAAACAGTAGCAGCAAAAATTTAAGAAGGAAAAAAAAGACAGGGTGCAAAGGAGAGGAGACCATTTGGCCCAGCTAGCCATTTTACAGTACCTGCATTCTGAATGGCATGAGAGGTTAGATCTGAGGCAATGAAGGGTTTATCTGTGCCTGTATAGCATCACATGCCTTCGCCAGTTTCTCCCAAGGTTAAGGAGCCCCGTTTGTAGTTTTGAATGTTTAAAACAACAAAAAAAAGTTTTATTTGCTTGAATAAAACACCAATGTTGGTTTTTTTCTCTCGCATAAATCTGCACTCGCCATTTTTCTGGCACCTCTCCGACTTTTCGGTCTCCTCTTGTCAGCCATCTTGGTTCACCTCTATACCTCCCGTGACCGTGCTGCTGAAAGTCAAGTTGTTTTCACCGCCAGCCCTGCAGACTCCCCGAGTGAGTGACCTGGCAAGACACTGACTGACTGACACTGACTGACTGACAAAGGCTTGCCCAGTTTCCCACAGCCTGTGCATCTCTGTACAGGGTCACAGCTGGGCGAGAATATGGCACAGAGCCCAGGCCCTGTCTGAACTACAGCGCTCAACCGGCAGTCCCTTCTCTCATCCTCAGTACTGTTGTAAAATAGTGTCTAGGAGCCAGTGTGCTTTACAACCAGTTTCCTTCATGTGTGTCAGTGTGCTCTGGTCTGAACTGCAGGTGCGGCGATGGCTGACTGTGTGCGTGTCTCTGACTCTCTTTGTGCAGATTTTGGTGTGCTCCTATTTCGCGCACCACCTGAACGTGTTCAGCCTGGCCACGCGGACCCACACCCACACGCTGGAGGACCGGGCCTCCCTGCTGTTCCTCCACAGTGCCGCCCTCACTTACAGCGGCAGCTACCTGGCCATCTCGAACTACAGCGACACAGAGAAAACCAGCTACGTGACACTGTGGGACTTACAGACCGGAAAGGTAGGAGGAAGTCAAGGCATCCAGCACACACCTTTCCCAGAGTAATAGGATTCCATATCAGGACCACAGACTTTATGTTGGATTGCTGGATTACTGGATTGTTGGATGGATGGAGGGAGGGATGGATTGATGGATGGATTGATTGATTGGTTGTTGGCTGCTTGGTTGCTTGGTTGGTTGTTTAGCAAATGCAACTGCAATGCATACTGTACGTTAAACTTACAATAGGCAAGTAACACCCATTTCCATTCTACATATTAAGAAAATGAAAAAAACAAGCTGGAATTGAAAGGCAAAACAGTGTATTACGCAAAGTAAAAGAATATACAGTACAGACAGTGAGGATCCTAGGCAGCAGTGAAGCCTGGTGGGATGAGGCGGGAACGGGGTATTACACACATCACTAGCAGGCTCTGAGATTCGTCGCACGTATCGTATTCTTGTATTTATACCACGTCCAACTAAATGTCCCTAAAACGTAAAAATACATGTAGTGTTATAAATAAAAAAGACAAGAATAATCCAGACAAATGGTTATATATATATATGTGAAGAAATTAGATTTGGTTATCTAATTAGGAGATCAGATTGAACTAGTTCAGGCTCTTTATGTAGTTAGATTAAACGACGTGGGGTTTTTGTTCTGAAAACGGGCCTGAACTGCAGCCCTCTTGGCGCTGTGTGAGCAGCTGGAACGCTGTGCCCTTCCAGGTGCGGAAGCGCTTGAAGAACGAGCCCAGGGTGGGCTGCCTGGCGGTCACGGACGACGCGAGCAGGCTTGTCTTCGGCGTCATGGAGGCCAACAAGTAAGTTCCCGACGCTAAGCCCCGGGAACTCTGACAGGGAGTCCGACCCCAGGGGTCCCTTTCCCCCGCCCGGGGGGTCTGGGAGAGCGCTCTGGGGGGGGAGCCATCCGTCACACCTGGAGATGAAAAGACGATGGGGAGCCTTTGCTGGACTTCGGTCTGGGCCGGAAAGGCAAGGAAACCTGCAGCAACACGGAAAAATCCCTTCTTCCTTAAACGGGAACTGCTTTTCTATGGATAGGGAAGGTCGAGGAGAGAGATACAGAGAGTCGAAAATGTTGATGCATACTTTGCCAGTGTTGTCTTTGAATAGAAAATGCCCCCTGTGAGGGAAGTGGGGCAGGACTTGATGGTTTACAATTTTTAGAATTTGCATATTAAAATTATAACATAATTAATGCAACATTATCCATTGTTAAGCAAATGACACTGAATTCGATTATTTTCCTCCCAATCTCCTACCATTAACCTACCATTTATTTGAATTTGGATTCTTTTATTTCTTAGGTACACTTATTTCATGTTCAGACAGTGGAGGGATAAATCTGTTGATGCTGCTCTAAGTTAGGACCAACAATTAATGCATTTCAAAAGACAAGATGTGTCCGCTGAATTTCAATTTGTAGAAAAAAATCATTTTAAAGATCTTTATATTGCTTTTCAGATGCACCATGTGTTCTCATTGTGTCCCAGAACAGTTTTTTTTTCTGAGGTTAAGCTAGGGATGGGGTGAGGGTTACCCTTGGTGAGCCCCAACGGTACCATTTTTTGCAGGCGAAAATCGGGTTCTGGGTGAAGGTTGCTGTGCAGTTGTGCCATTGGTCATGGCAGAGTAATTAAAAAAACTAAAACCGTGCATGTTTGTGTTTGCCCCGAGATGGGGCTGGTATCCCACCCAGCGTGCACCCTGCCTTGCTCCCTTTGCTAGCTGGGATAGACTCCAGCTCTCCTGAGACCCTGATGTTGATGGAGCAGTTAGAAAATGGATGGACGGAATTATTAAGAATATATTATAGATTATATAAGTTCTTTTACTTTTAGTTTTGAAGATTTACAGCTTAAGAAGTTCTGGTCACAAAGCACATTTTATTTCTTAGCATAAAAAAAAAAATCCTGAGCGTCACGTTAAAGTTAGATGTGGTACTCTTCTGCCCTCTGCTGTCGAGTTTGTGAATCACTGCTATGATAACGCTGTAAAGTATTGGGAGCATCAAAAAACATATCTGTGCATGTTTTTAGAAAATAATAAGTATATCGTTTTTTTTTACATTGATTAAATGCTTTTGGGTGTAATTATGGTTAATTTACCATTTATGACAAAGCATGATACACCCTAAGAGTCACTAAATCACCACTCTAGTGAGAGCTGATTCCAGACAGGTAATTTTAACCTATTGAATGTCAAGTCTGGTGAAGATCAAGGGCCAAATAAGTCCTGCTTATCAAGAGAATCATGCCTTCATTCCAACAGTATGTTCGAAACTGGACTAAGGACCTGACGTTAACCGCATCCTCTTTGTTGACAAGGCTAAGATTTGTACAGACCTCCCTGCTGGATGTCAGAAGGTCCCCTAATTGTTGTGCACAACAGACCAAAGGAATGTCCATATCATGATGATCGCAACAGGAGTCTAATCTCTACAGATCTCTTACAGTGATTTACAGCACATGTATATAGAAAAGCATGTACAGCACCTTTGTTTATATAGTCTTATAATAATGTCTGGTAAAATATCATTTCTGAAACGGAGGCAAAAACCTGTTATAAGTGAGCATGCTGCATAGAACAATATATCTTCTTCATCCATCCAGGGTTAAAGTTTGGGATCCTTTCCGAAAAGCACACAAAACCATTCCTGGTTACGAAACCCTGGAAATGGGAGTGAACAGTAAACTGCATGTTATAGACGAAGGAGCAAAAGCAATTTTACTAGCAGGTGAGTGAAGAGCTGAAGGGATCTGGGTGTCATCGTCTCAGTGTCGCTTATTCCGCTGGACTGTGGGAAAGGGGAAACTGGAATGATGAGATTTACTCAGTTATTCAGATTTTCCCCTTCTGCTCACCTCTTGTGCTCAAGAGGTTTGGGAAACCTGTCCTATTGAACAAGAGAGCAGAAAATAATTGAACGCAAGCTGTCGAACCAGGGGGCCGGATCCTGGTCGTCATGTGTGCTGTGTGCCGTTTCTTCACACAGGGGACGTCAGCACGTGGGACCTCGACGCCGGCACGGTTCTGTCCGTCTTCACGCCCGACAGCAACATCCGGTGCCTCTCGCTGGCCCAGGACCGCAAAACCATGCTCCTGGGGCTGAGCGACAGCCCGGCGCTCATCGCCATGGCACTCGTGTCCAAGGAGATCGCAGAAAAATCCTCCTGCGCGGGAGCAGGCCTCTTCGCGGAGCAGTCGAGCACCAGCGAGGAGGAGGAGGAGGAGGAGGAGGATGGCAAAGACGCATGCTGAATTGTGTACATGAAAAACAGCAAACCACACAGAGCCCATCACTCCAGCCTCTGTCACAGCGGGATGGGGATGACATTTTCATCCAACAGAGGAGCAGTTCTACTGTATCCTACTCTCTGCTGTCCTGCTAGAAGGCACAGTTCACTTTATCAGCTTACATTTTTTCCCAAATGATGATGAAATATACGCTAAAAATCCTCCCTTAACTTTACTGGAAAGTATCTGTACAATCAGGGTTTTTATTGCAGTTCACTTACCTTCTAAGATGTATTTTCTAAAATGAGAAATCTTCCAGTTTAAAGTAGATCTCACACACACACACACGGCAGCAGGATGGCGCAGTGGCAAGCACTGCTGCCTCGCAGCACTCCAAACATGGGGTGCTCTCTGTGTGTGTGAGAGTGTGTGTTCTCCCCCTGTTCTTGTGGGGTTCCTCTGGTTGCTCCCGTTTTCTTCCAACTCGCAACCATACCGGTGGGCGGATGAGCTTCAGGGAGACTCGGCCGTGGTGCCCCGTGATGGACAGGCGTGTACCCCGTCTTGGGCCTGCTGCGTGCCAGGATAGGCTCCAGCTCCCCCGTGACCCTAGATTGGAAGAAAGGTTAGGAGACGGACGGATGGACAGTTTATGTCAAGTGTCGCAGCAATAAAAAGCCTTTTTTTCATGCTCGAATTAATTAAATCATTCTAACTCTTCAGAATTTGGGTTTCAAAGCCTCTTGCTTTTCACTGGGTACCATATCAAACAGTTAAGTTGTTGCAGGGTGTCCTGAGTCATGGGGTTTAATTTAACAGTCTAAAATGAAAATCAAATTAGGTGTAATATTTCTTACCACATGAAGTCACTCAACAGAATAGAATCAATTGCGGTCTTCAATAGAAAACGGCTTTGCTCCTGTCCAAAACTATTTAGCCATCCGTTCTTCAGTCCTTCCGTACATTTTCATCCAATACAGGGTCACAAGGGAGCTGCTGCCTATCCCAGCAAGCAACAGGGGCAAGGCAGGAGAACCTCTGGCTGGGACATCACAGGACAGCCTCCTAGTCTTGGACTCGATGCAGCACAGCTCACTTTTAAAGCACTGATTACTAAATGACACTTAAAATACATCTTTAAAAATACTATTGGATATGAGGATTCTTTCATACTAAGAAATGAAACAGTTAAGGAAATGTAACCAATTAAAGGTGTCCTCGGGAAGCTTTTCTATTCTAAATTAGACATTTCTCAACAAAAGAGTTTTAGTTACAGCCTTAGCCACAGTCCAGCGAATTGAGTCCTAAGTTTCCTAAGAGAATGTTCCAGTCAAAGACTAAAGACAGCTTCTTCATTATTCAAAATCAATGAATGATCTGGCTTTGCCAAGGAGCTGTGTTTTGCTGAGAACCCATTTAAACCACTAATGCCTCTCACAGGAGTGGCCTGGATTGATTTAAGCATTGACAGACAACAGAATTCACTCTTGGTTGCTAATTAAATAGACCTAATATTGGGATGCCTAGATGGGTACATATCCGAACACAGTGAGATATTCCAGCTGAGACTAATCGACAACATAAGACATGAAGAGCACTTGTGAAAAATGAGATGAGGCCGTTTGCATTCTTGAGGATTACTACACTATCCTTCCTGAATTTACTTTGCTTATTTTTTTATTATTTCTTAATCATGAGTCATAAAATACAATAAATATAAATGATGATAGACTTTATCATTTCTGGTTGCTGTGAAATGTCGGGATTGGTTTGTTTGGGTTGACTACTACAAATCAACTCTGCTCAGTGCTGTGACCTTTGACCCACGATGGCAGGGATACAGCCTGTATGCCTGTATTGTACAGCACTGTGTCCCTGACTGTCATATTGAAAACCACAGGAAAGAGTGCCAAGGGTGGTCGGTGTATGGCCACATTCGCAAAAATTGAATTATGATTTTGAATACAGACCACACCCCTCTTCATCACAGCACTAGGAAAAAGATGTGCCACAGGTCCCAGCAATTGTACGTTATAGATTTCAGTGATCATCCAAAAAGTAGTTGGAATGGTCCACTGTTTCAAAGCACCATGGATTATTCTTTACTTGCAAATTATTCATGGCATCCCTAACAACGATGGAAATAGACATGAAATAAATTAGCAGATGCATGAAGAATTCAAACAACCCACTTCTAAAAAAGTAAAGAACTGGCATTAACCCAACATGCTAAAAAAAGCATGAAGTATATTTACACTTCATAAACATACCGTTGAAAGTTAGAGATTCATCCTAGTGGAAATAAAGTTACTTTGCTCTCGGACGCAGTATGAATTTACAGTCAGTTTTGCTTTGGGAAACAATGGGTTCTGGGGTCTTCTTTTTGAGGTTCGGAGATACAGTACAAAAGTGACTCGTCAGTAGAATGCTTTGGATTGCTTACACTGTGTTTGCAATGACTGTGCCAGTACTGGAGGAGGACTTTCAGAAAAAAAAAAACTTCAGAAGATTAAACTTATTCTTCTGAGAACCTAGAGTGTTATAGCATCTCGTATGCAAGCAAATGGAATGATACAATTCTTAACGTAACTCAATGACATTTACCAAGCTTATCGCTTTCAGCTACACTATAATAATCATAAACAATATACAGCCATCCCCCAATTCTTGTTTTCTTCTGCATTAAAATAAATCTACATAGACAATCGCTGGCACAGGTTTATTTAAATACTGAAAAACTTAAGAAAATTAAATTAGAAATACCAAATATTATTGAACAGTGAAATCAGTGAAAGTTTGCCACTGGTTTTGGAAGACTTTTAAAAAAAAAAGGCCAGAATTTTTAATTTGACTAAAAAAAAGTTACAAGATATCTTTTCAACATCACCTACAAATACTGTGTATCCCAGTTACATGTAGTCTTGTGCCTTGTTCTATCAATGCTCGAAGTTGTATATACTTTTACGATTTTTACCTGTAATCTTTTTATGTTCAGTTCCTCAATATAGCCCCATTTATAAAGTCACAAGTCACATAATAATGCACCTATACAGAGCAGTTATGGCAGTGTCACCTGCAGTAATCTTAAGGAAACATGGAGAGGTCTCTGCAGTATTCCGCTCAGTGGCCACACTGTTTCTGTCCTGCGTACTACCCTCTCGGCTAAGTGCAGCAACAGATGAATTGAAAACAGGTGTTCGGCAGCTTCGATGTATCGTTCATACCCAGGGTTCAAAATGAACGCCGCTTAGTCTCCAGAAGGATTGTTTCATCAGCAACATGACAACAAGAAGGCCGACGCGGGTCACTACCTAGACCTTCTGTCCTTTTTAGCCTTCTCGATGCTCTTGTCCATCGTCTTTTCGCTGTCGCCCCTGCACTTGGGGCAGTACCACTTGCCCTTGGGCTTGTAGGTGAGTCCGACGCAGGAGAAGTGGAACCACTCGATGGGGCACTCCTCGTTGTCGCAGCCGATCATCTCGCCGTAGGACACTTGGTTGCACAGGCAGTAGGTGGGCTCGTTGGGGTCGATGGCGAACTCCACGGGGGACACCTCCCGCTCCTGCTTGGCCTTGGAGCGCTTCTTCTTCTTGGAGGACTTGGACTTCTTCTCCCTGGGCGCCGGCTCCTCGCCCGCTTCCTCCACGCCGTTGGCCG